AGGAAGATACAGAAAGCAAATTTGGGGATGGTTCAATGAAATTTTCATATGGGTTCTGCATTAATTTAGAAATTACATAACAGAGCAAAGGCAATTAATATTTTTATCTCTTTTCAGATGATGTTTCAGACTTTAAAAAAAACGGTAAATTCACTCTTAAACACACTGAAAAGTCATCTAATCATTTCGGCTCAAACTATTTTTTAGTTTATTTTCTCTTGTGACTTTTAAGATGTGCATTCAAAAATCTGGCACTTTTCCCACACTATTCTTCGCTTATAAAATAAACACACAAAATAGTTCTACACCTACAATGTTCCTTATAATTAAAGGCAAAAAAAAGTTTTGTTTTTTTAAAAAGAGCAATTAACACAAACATTTGTATAGATCTACATGCAGCCCCCCTCTTTTCTCTTCTGCACAGTTGTTTCGTGTGGAGTTTAATCAATGGCGTTGGCCGTCGCTGTCAGGCAAGGAGGAAGGAAGAAACATGCTTGTTCGAAACACATGATATGGCCACTGGGACGTAGCAGTCGTCACTCGAGATGGCCCAGTGGGTGAAAGAGGTAACTGGCCACTCCTCTTGGATAAAGTGAGGCAACACACCTCTGGGCTTGATTCTTATATTGTAAAAAAAAATGCGTTAATGACCCTGATATAGGTGCAATTTACACTCCAATCTCTGTATTTTGTACTGAGAGAGAAAGACACATTGGGCTTTTACAATGTGGTTCCGAAAACTCATTCACTTGGCTTTGGGATCTGGAGAGAAGAGAAAGCCCCAATACACCACACTCCCGTACATGCCAGCCTTGAGTTCTCAACCGCAGCCTCGGCCTCCGGAAAAAAGGCGCGGCTGTGAGAAGGAGAACACCGACGTGGGTTGCCTGGGTTAGCCTTTCCAAGCATCTTCACATAAGGGCATTAATACCTCAGCGTTAAAGGCCATGGTTTTTGCTGTACATTGAACCTTTCCCGTAACAGGGGAGAAAGACGTTACAGCTCAGGTTAAAATATAACAAACAGCGTATGGTTGTTTGCTGTAGCTATAACATCACCTATTATGCTTACTACTTTTATCACCAAACCATTGGCTAGAACAAGTGCATTTGATTATTTTTAGTAACTTTTCCAAATGATATGAAACACCATATTCGAATTGGATTAATGCTCTCTTTTAAAATGTTGTATTTGATTGAATGATTTATAACAACATAAATTGACTTATTTCTTTGTTCTCTAACAATGTTTTAAAGTTGGTCTATCTATCCATAATAAGTTTCATTGTTAATAATGGAATAGTGGTGATGAGAGAGCATCCTTTGTAAAGAACAGCTTATCAGTAGCCTAAGTCCACAAGATTCTTTTAACTGTTGCTTTGGTATTGTTTGTTTCTTGATCTTGAGTTTCTCCAGACCTGGCAGTAACAAGCATTGGCCTGACTTCGGACCTTGTTCTATTCCCCCAACCACCTTGTGTGGCTGGAACCTGAGCGTGCCATTTCCTATACCTTTTTTGAGGGGACATCAAGATTCAACAGAATCGTAAGGCGTTGGTTGATGGGGAGATGTGGGGGGTTCAGGGGGAAACGCATGGACCGTTTTCTCTTAAAAGACAGAATTTTTCTCTTTGTTTGCTCTCTTATTTGAATCTGGAGATAGCGTCGTTGCAGTACGCTGTGTTTCTGTTCTGATTCGGCTCCTGAGGAAGAGCCTCCGAGTCACACTTACAGGGACAACACTGGGGACGAGAAAAATTTACTTGGTGCTGTGAAGCTTGGGACTATGGGGGGCAGGGGAACATGGCGTATGCGCTCTAGCTCTGAGTCTATTTTCGGCGAAGAAAAGCAAGGGATGATTAGTGATAATCAGCCTTCCAGAGTAACTTTAGGATTCACCCCCCCCCCCCCCCCCCCCCTTAAGCCATATTAAGCCAAGATGGGATCAGTCTATAAATATACCAGAAAGTAGAAATATTTGCTGTTGTTTAAAGAATTTGTTTCATTCCCCCATTGGGAATGGAGGTATGGGACCCTGAAAGAACCGGGTGCGGTGAAGGTCCCGGGACTTCCTAGCCTCCACCCCCTCCTGCGGTGGCCGCTCCACCCCACCGCCCAGCCAGCCTGTGCTTTCACCAGACTCGCGTCAGGCTAGTAATTTTGTTCCCGGGCCCAACTTCATTACTTGACCTCTTCGGCTCTGCTAGGAAAGCCCAGCGCAGTGTAAAGCTTGAACAGCTGTGGTCTGTGGGGTCTAGGATCCAACACTGCAACATTCTCTGCCGGTGTAGTTTAAGCTCAACGACCTGTTCCAGAAAAGGTAAAAATTATGAGCTATTTCTCACACTTTAAAAGGATTCACAAATTACCAGGTTCCCAGTTTTTCATCTCGTCATTACCATAAGCTCTTTTATATTTGCTAGAACACATCAAATTTTCAATCAGGTTGCCACTCCCACACATGATCCTTATTGGGTACAATTGAAGGGAAGCTCCTTGTCCCCTCTCTATATATTGTTTAAATCATTGAAGACAAGGTCTTATATAATGCAAGTACTCAGTAACTATCTTGAGAGAATTCACAAAAGCTAACTATGGTAAATATTGAGATTGACTTCCCAACATTCATTCCATAAGACCCCCCCTCCACCCCCTTGATTCACCATAACAAGATTGCAAGTTGATCTTCATCGAAGGGGGTCCTGATTATCATGGGAATGGGATTCCTCTTGGTTCAAAGGTAAACAAATAAGTCCAGCCAACAAGAAGAGAGGTGTTTTGCTGAAGGCTTCTGGGGAGTTTTCCTACACACTTGAGAGCAGTAAGAAGTTAGCCTCTCTTTCAGTAGACAAGAACAAGGAAGCAGGAAGCCCATCAACCATCTTACAACCATGGTAGTAACGAGCCTAAGGATCATGCCAACATTGTAGATGGCCAAACAACCAGAATGATGTGCTTCTTTAATATTATTGAAATGCTGGATGAATCAACTTTCTTTCTCTTGGGTCAGAAAATAAACTTGAAGTCAATTTGAGAATTAATGGATATTTCTTTCTCTTGCAATTTAAACCCAATCCAATATTTTCAGCTACCTTTAGACACTTCTAAATGTATATCAACCCTGCAGTATGTTCAGTCCAAACAAATATTAGTAACTGTCGGACACGATGGCTCACGTCTGTAGTCCCAGCTACTTGGGAAGCTGAGGTGAGAGGATCGCTTGATCCCAGGAGTTCTTAAGTTGCAGTGAGCTATGATTAAGACACTGTACTCTAGCCTGAGTGACAGAATGAGACCCCATCTCTAAAAATAAAAAAAATTATCAGTCTCTGAGCTACCCAGGCTTGAGGGCCTAGAGTTATTCATTTGTTTGTCTTGAGGTCCGGTCACATCCATGAGTTGGGATCACTCATCCATCAATCTAGTCCTTTTGTCAGGTCTCACCACCCTAAGTCAGATCTTCACCAGTTCATGATACATGATCACACAGAACGTATCTAGTAGTCTCACTCCTTTGCAACACAGGACAAAGTGTGTAAGATTTAGTGGGACTACAGAGTAAGGGAGGAAGCACTGGGATGTTGATCTTAACTCAGAAATGGTATTTTGTTCCTTTCACATGCTCAGTTGATTGTATCTGCCCTTAAAGATGTAGTTCAAATATCTATTCTGCTATGAAGTCACTTCTCTCCCTTCTCACGGTTTCTCTCATAGGCCTGGTCTCCTCTACCATGTACTAGAATGTGCCTGGGTATGTCCCTGTCTCTTCTGTATGAGAATAAGGCTTGCTTAGTAGTCATCACACTTACTTCCAGCATCTACATGTTTTATGAAGAACCTGGAAGTTGTTTTTCTACCTCCAATGCATGGATTTTAAGCACAAATTAGTTTTTAAATGCCATTTTTACTGGCATGAACTGGAACTTGCTTTAGCCTGCCTTTTAATCCCCCTTCCAGATTTCAGGGAAGGATGTTAAAGTGCTAAATAAAACAAGGAAAATCCCAACTCTGACACACCCTATTAGGCATGTCTCTCAACTCTAACAATCAGGCAGTTGTTATTATTCTATGTCTATTCATTGGAATTCAGATATTTTCACTTTCTTTGGTTGGTTTTCACTCCAATACATCTGAACATTCCAAGTAAAATGCTAAAATTAAATTCTTAAACAGAACAAATTCAATTTTCATGCTACTTTCCTTCCTAAATTTAGCACTGAAAAAGTTCCATGCCTTAATGTACGTAGAGAGTAAAGTCCTCTTCCCCTCCTCTTTGCCCATGTTGACAAATAAAACACAAACGTTGTATGGGTTTTATCAGGAATCTTAGAATTACAGTATTTATGCTTTGGAGGGCATTTGACAATAAACACATATTACTTTAATAAAAAATAAAGAATAAGTGCTAAATAAAGCTTTTAACTTTCTCCCACATTAACACTTAACTATATATTTTAAACCTATTCCAATACAGTTTTCAATTCCTAGTATCATCCACTCCGCTTACATTATTATTAAAGGATTCAAACAAGTTTATATTTTTGCTGAAAGCATGCTAAAGTTTTGTATTCTTGCATCCCCACTCCAGATTTCTGAAACATTAGTGTACATTTATTGCTCCATATATTTTCTAAACTCAATTTTCTCTTTCATTACTGGGCTAGCAAAAGAATTTATTCAAATGATCCAACAATTCATCACTCACATCACCTCTTACCATAAAAATATATTATATTCAAAAACATTCAAAAACCTTTATCAAAAATTAAAAGTTCATTAAAATTTCAGTTAAAACATTAAGACTATGATGTATTTTCACAGGTGTACACACGACAAAATTTGTCAAATTGCACACTTTAAATATGTGCCGTTTATGATGTCAATTTATACTTTAAGTAAATCTGCTAAATAAAACAATATCCAAAAGAGGCACATACTGAAATATGATTAAAAGGCCTAAAGACAGACACACACACACAGAAGAAAAAGAACCACTACTCCATAAATGCATCAGCAAGTTTATTTACAAATGCAATTGAACAGAAAGGTTCACTAGTTTCAGGAGAAAACTTCCGGTATACAAACCATGGTTATTTTTCATTAATGAAAATAAGCAGCTTTCTATTGTTAAGGAAAATAGAGCTCCCCTCATCAAGCAAATAAAATGTTACATAAAGTAAATTTTTAAGTCATATTACATAGGTGCAAGGAAGGATACAGAAAGCAAATTTGGGGATGGATTTCAATGAAATTTTCCATATGGTTCTGCATTAATTTAGAACACATTACAATAAACAGAGCAAAGGCAATTACATATTTATATTAACTATTTCAGATGATGTTTAAGAACCTTTAAAAAAAAAAAAGATAAAATATCCTCTTCAAAACACCACTAGAAAGTCAATCTAGATCATTGTCAGCTTCAAAAATATTTTTAAGTTCTTATTTTTTTCTCTTGTGCTTTTAAGATGCTGAATTCAAAATACTGCACTTTTCCCCCACACATAATTACTTCCTTATAAATAAACAACAACAAAATACAGATTCTACCAAGACTACAATGTTCCTATATAATCTAAAGAAGCAAAAAAAAAAGTTATTGTTTTTTTAAAAAAGAAAGCCAAATAGACATACAACACATATTTATAGATCTACATCAGCAGCCCCCACCTCTTCTTCTATCTGCAACAGTGCTTTCGTGTGGAGGTTTACATCACATGGCGGTTGGCCGTCCAGCTGATCAGGCAAGGAGAGAAGAAAGAAAAATGCTTAGATTCGAAACACATGAATATTGCCACCTGGGACACGTAGCAGTCGTCACTCAGAGAGTGGCCCAGTGGGGTAGAAAGAGTAACCTGCCACTCACTCTTAGGATAAAGTGAGGCAAACCACAACCTCTGGGCTCTAGAATTCTTTATTTGTAAAAAAAAAAAATGCAGTAAAAATGAACCACTGATATAGGTGCAATTTACACTCAACTCTCTGTTATTTGTACTGAAGGAGAGAAAAGACACATGGGCAATTTTACAATGGTGGTTCCGAAAACTCATTTCCACTTGGCTTTGGGATCTGGTGAGAGAGAGAGAAAAGCGCACACACATACACACACTCCCCCCAGTACATGCCCAGCCTTGACGTTCTCCAACCGCAGCCTCGGCCTCCAGGAAAAAACTGGACGGCGGCTGTGAGAAGGCTCAGAACCCACCGACAGATAAGAGAGAGTTGACTGGGCTTAAGCCATTTCCAAAGCACTCTTCACATAAGGGGCCACATAAATACCTCAGCGTTCAAAAGCAAATGGTTTTGCTGATACCACTTGTAACACCCTTTCACAGTAAGGAAGAAACAGACGTTACCAGCATCAAGGTTCAAAATATAAACAAACAGCAGTAATGGTTGTCTTGCTGTAGCTATAAACAATATACAACCTAATTATGCTACCCTACCTTTTATAACACACAAACACATGCTTAGACACAAAGTAGCATTTGAAATTATTTTTAAGTCAACTTTTCCAAAAATGATACTGAAACACCATATAATCAGAATTAATGCTCTCCTTTTAAAAATGTTGTATATCTAGATATATGATTATATTAACAAAACATAAATTGACTTATTCTTTGTTACTCTAAACAATAGTTTTAAAAGTTGGTCATATTCTAAATCACATAATCAAAGTTCATTGTTAAATAATGGAAATAAGGTGGTGATGAGAGAGCAATCCTTAGTAAAGAAACAGATTACAGTAGCCTAAGTCACAAGATTCATTTAACTGTCTGCTTTGGTTTGTTTGTATTCTTGAGTCATTAGAGATTTCTCCAGACCCTGGGCAGATAACACAAGACATTGGCCTGACTTCGGACCTGTGTTCTAATTCCCCCAAACCCACCCTTGTGTGGCTGGAACCCTGAGCAGTGACTCATTTACCATATACCCTTTTTGAAGGGGACAAATCAAGATTCCCAAAACCCAGAATCCTAAGGCAGTGAGCTTGATGGGGAGCTGGCTGGAGGTTCAGGGAAACGCATGGGAACCCGTGTCCTCCTTAAAAGACAAGAAATTTTCTCTTTGATTTGCTCTCTTACATTTGAATCTGAGATAGCAGTCGTTGCAGTACAGCTGCTGGTTTCTGATTCTGACTTCGGCTCCTGAGGAAGAGCCTCCGAGGTCACACTTACAGGACACACACTGGGGGACGAGAAAAAATTATAATTAGTCAGCTCGTGAAAGCTTGGGGCACTATGGGGGGCAGGGGGAACATGAGCAGTATGCAGCTTCTAAGCTCTGAGATATATATTTCAGCGAAGAAAAAAAGGCCAAGGGATGATTAGTAGATTAAAATCAAGCCTTCCAGATAAGACTTTAAAGAATTCATAAAGCCAATATTAAGAGCCAAGATGATCAGTCTAAATATACCCAAGAAAAGTAGAAATAATTTGCTGATTGGTTTAAAGGAATTTAGTCTTCATTCCCCCAGGGGAATGGAGGGTATGGGACCACATGAAAGAACCGGTGGCGGTGAAGGGAGCCCGGGTTCCTAGCACTCCACCCTGCGGTGGGCCGCTCCACCCCACCGCCCCAGCCAGCCTGTGCTTTCACACAGCACCTCGCTTCAAGGCTGGGTATTTTGGTTCCCCAGGCCCAAACTCCAATTATCTTGACTCATTCGGCTCTGCCTAGGAACAGCCCAAGCCAGCAGTGTAACAAGCTTGAACAAGCTGTGGTCTGTGGGGCTCTAGGATCAACCACTGCAACATTTCTCTGGCCCAGTGTAAGTTTAAGAATCAAACAGACATGTCTCCAGAAAGGGGTATTGCAAAACCAAGCAGGTACGGCCTTAGTTCCTTCTTTGGTGCAAAACCCTATCAGGTATAAGCAGGCTGTGCAATTACAGAAAATACTAACAATGGTTTTCTTTACATACTCTCCCTGTGCATAGCTAAGTTTTCAGACACTTGAAAATTGCATATCCCCACGATGTTAATAACATTGGTAAGCTCTTGATAAATTATATTTCAAGTTTGTCTATGATGGCACCTTAAAGAAAAAGCATTTATGTACTATAAATTTTATTGATAGAATTCTAACAGATTAGAGATAGGAAATGCACAGTTTTTGTAGATTTAAGTTTGAAAACGAGCTTCAAGATTGGAAAACTAAGTCGTAGCGAGCAATTTGTGGTTCGAATGCAGCACAGACTGACAAATACAACACCTAGAGCTTGTTAGCGGCACATCCACACCCAGCGGCTCAAAGCAGCCATGCGCTCTCCAAGCAAAGCTTTGCAGGCCTGCAAGCTGTGCGCCTCAGTCTCACCTTAAAACAATGTAAATGATAACAAAGACCCAGGGACTCGATGATCATGGCAGCTCCTTTGCCCAGAATATTATTACAGTAGGAACACATGCGCTTCCCACTGACTGACCTAGATGCAGAACAAGAATGGAACGGAGGCTTTCACCCGTGCAGCTCAAGATTCTTATTTTAAAATCACACTCTGGTATTAACATGAATAACAATTTAAGGAAGGTTCTGTGTATCTGTGGGAGAAAAACTTTCACCAGCCAACTAAAGCATGCCTTGATTGCATGGTAACCTTGAACAATCTCCATGGCAGCTCTGACACCCCTGACATCTATTCACATAAAGGAACAATTTCAGTGTGATTCGTCCATCTTGCACTTCGTGATGCTCATGTCCCTCCTTAGATCACATCTGTACTCAGCAACGGCCTCCCCTCCTGTAATCCCCATCTTCTCGCCAGTTAAATCTGCCAAAGCCCACGATCCTCATCATGGCACCCCACCCCTCAGAATGCTAAAACTTCCTTCGAGAGGCATTGCAAGTTTTTTACAATCGACCTTCCCTGCCTTATTTTTCACTCTCTTCTTCAGTTATCCAATTTTCCAGTTAAAGAAAGTATCAGTGCTCTCCTGACTGCCTCTGGCTTATACGCCTCTGCGGAGAAGAAAATGAAAAGTGAATGACAGCTACTGTTTAGATGGAGAAGGAGGGTTTCTACTTTACTTTTGGATCCAGTATCTGACTTCCTCCCCCAGGTGGTTAGGTAGCGCCCCTCCTTCTTTACCTTTGCACCTCCACAGCATGAGCACAGCGCTCTAGTGACACAAAACAGTGCGTATCGGTAGCTGCCGAGTGTCTGATGTTAAGAGGGCCACCCTCTAGATCCAGACCTTCTTACGGCCCATAACCTGTCCCCTCTATTCCCTATTCTCCTAGAGTGGGGCTCTCGGTAGGTAAATGGGTACGCTCTCCTCTGCCTCCCTCCCCTGCACCCAAATTTACCATAAACCCAAACCCCTTACCTCTCAATTCAAACTCTCTACTCTAATACATACTTTGTAGATCCTGGTACATGTAATCATTTTGAATTGATATACAATGTTTTCTTACCAAAGTCTCTTACTTGATAAACAAAAATCCCAACATGTTTCTCCTTTTAAGTATTCCATTTGTGATGGAATAGTGCAGCCAGTAGCACTCCCCTGGGGTGACAGCAGCATTGCTGTATGTGCTCATGTGAAGCACAAGAGATCCGTGGAGAAGCTACACAGACCTAAAAATCCAACTTGTGTTGATATCTCAGCTTCACTCCGTATCAAAAGATCAGATTCTAGTTGGGACCCTGTCATAATTTACGTAGTTCCCAAACAATACAACCTACAGAATTCTGTTGCTAGTAGCCTGAGCAAACCAGAACAGCCAAGCAACCATTTTGGCAATCAAAAACCCAAAAAGCAAAATCGAACCTACTTCACATCTCTTTAACCCAACTAGTTAAAAGTTCTCCAGACTACGAGCTGCATTATAAATGCTTTTCTTTCATGCTCAGCTCCTATAAAATGAGTTTGTACTATGGTGTCATGAAAATAGTCACACATTTTATAATACTGCTCTGACTCATAAATTTGAGATGCACTCATGAGCTGCTATATATTTTTATGATTCTACATAGGACTATTCAGGTATGTCTTACATCTAAGACACTGACCACAAGCACAGGCAAACGAGACAGTGGCAGTAAGTAGACGTTTTAAAGGTCTCCATGAAACATCTATAAATGCTATTAGAGTTACACAGAAAGCTTCTTAATTGACTTGATAAAAGAACACTGAATTTGACACATTCAGGAGAGCTTATTTTTCTTTTTCATTGCAAAGCTTGAACAAGGTTTAGGGGAAATTTTTACAAAAAAATAAACCTGAGACTAAGAGAAGAAAAAGAGAAACCATGAAGGGCCTCACCTGCTGCGTAGCTGAGAACCTGACTGTGAAGGTGAAGGGGAATGGTTTTGAGGGGTGGGGGCTCCACCCACAGTGGTGGTCTTTGCGGGGCCAGCGGAAGGTGGGGGCACACTGGAGGACGGGTTCCGCATGTAGGCACGGTTTGACGTGGACACCAGCTGAGGTGGTGGGCGACTGAAGTCTTGCATGGAGGAAGAGGCATGGAATCCTGTAGACTGATTGAGCCAAGGGGACTGTCTCCAAGAGTTCGATCGTGGGGAGTCCAGGTTATCTAGAGATTCGCCTCTGAAACACAAAAAGGATTCATCAACATAATGTGATTATCTTCAACTGGAAATCTATTTCATTCATCATTACAGTCATTAAAAAATATCCACTGTACATATTTTACATGTAGGTATTAATCTAATATAGTTACATATACTATACTCCTTGATTTATGATGGCGTTATATCTGGATATCTGGATAAACGCATCATAAAATGAGACTGTCATATGTCACAACTGCATTTAATTCACCTAACCTACCGAACACCACAGTTCAGCCTAGCTTACCTTAAACATGCACAACACTCATTATTACCCTACAGTTGGACAAAAATCACGAGGCCCATTTTATGATAAAGTGTTTAATATCTTATGTAATTTTTTGAATACTGCACCAATAGTGAACAATGGAATGGTTGTATGGGCAAGTACAGTTCCTACTGAATGCCTGCCGTTTCATACCATTGTGAAGTCAAAAAACCGTAAGTTGAACCATTGAAAGTCAGGGACCATCTGAAAAATTACCTTTAACAAGTAAAAGTTGGTCTTCATCAGAGGCATCATGATGTTTCACATGTCAATCAACCTTCATTTATTTTCATTTACTTGGTGCTTAGGTAAAAAGAATAAATACCAACCAAAGTGGAAAGAAAAATACTACAAGGAAAAATTTTTTAAATAAAAGCTAATACTGTAGTAAGACTAGAAAGACTTATTCTTTAAATCTTCAGTTTAGACATATGAATCTTAAAAAGTCTTTTTTAAAATTCAACCCCAAAAATACATTTTATGCATTTAAACATGACAGGTATCAGGCTAGACACTTTCACAAAAATATTAAACTTATTTAATCTTCACAATACTGCAAGATATTTTACAATCTCATAGTAGGTAACTTGTCCATAGTAAGAGCCGGTCAGTGGTGGTACTGGTTTCCAAACCTAAGCCCCAATTCTAAAGTAACCCAGGCCATGCCTCCTGAGAAACCTTCATTCACACACCCCCCAAACCCCCAAATCTAACAACTGTTTAATGTCCACATTATAGAAGCATTCATCAGTCACTTCCCTTAAACTGAATATGCATTCAAAATAGGATTTAGCTGACAATCTGATTTAAATATAACTTTTAGAGAATCCTTCTTAACTGTAAATCATGAGGGTTTTTTCTAGTTGGAGAATTTTTATTTTATTGCCTTTAAAATTTTCTCTTATCTCAAGCTTGAAGTATTTTTTTAGCATTATAAAAGTGATGTATCATCATAAGGAGAAAGACTCCAGCTGTATATAGAAGGGTTATCTGAGGGAGAGTAAAAGTCCCCCCTCACTGACAGCTTACCTGCCCCAACCCCCAGAGGTAGCCACTGTCAACTGTGTGTCCTTCCAGATCCTTTCTCACATATGCAGGCACACATACAAATTTACATATGGACATAAAGACATGTCTATATACATACACAATGTGCTTGTGTACTTAATAGTCTTAACAAAACAAATAGGATTTTCCCACAACACAATCTTCAATAACTTCTTCTCCATTTAACATATATTATCTTAGAACTATCTTCATGTCTGTTCATATGATAGACTACTTTAGGGTCCGGCAATGCATCATGCCTTCTGGTATCCATGTCTCTCTCCCGCTGACTCTGGGCATGGCGACATGACTAACTTGGCCAATGAGGCATCAGCGAACATGACACACATGGTGATAAGCACTGGCTTATTAGGGACTGTCCTGTTGCAAGCTCCCCTTCTTTGAACCCAGGTTCCATGCCATGAGGAAGCCCAGAGAGCTATGTGGAGAGGACCACACAGAGAACAGAGGCTCCCAACCAATCACCCCAGCTGAGACCTCAGTGAGCCTCTACATCAAGCTGCAAATTATAGCCCACTGCCAACTCATGAACTAAGAATATTTTTTACACATCCAAAGAGTGATTAAAAAGAAAAAACAATATATGTCAGAAACCTATGTTGGCTGCAAAACCTAAATTATTTACTACCTTGTCCTTTACATAAAAAAGGTTCCTAACTCCTAATCTAAAAGACTATCGCTGCTCAAGTGCGCCAACCAACACCATGCAAAGAACTACCTAGTAAGCCCTCAGAATTGTGAGATGATTAATTACTTTAACCCACTAAGTTTTCAGGTGGTATATTATGTAGCAACATGTCTCTTTCATTCTTTAATGAAATAGTCATATAGTATTTGATCTTATTGGTATGCCACTACTTATTCAACCACTAATACCTCTTAATAGTAGACGTGACTTTTTTCTTTTCTTTTGCCATTGCCAAGAATGTTTAAATGTATATCCTTCAATATATCTTTGCATACTTATCCAAATATATCCAGAATGCCAGAAACCAAATTGCTCAGAATATAGATGTATAAACTTTTGCTTCATACATACTGAAAAACTGTCCAACCAATTGGCAACAAGCTTAATCAATTTTAACTCCTCACAAATCCTTTAAACAAAAGAGATACATCATTATTGTAGGAGTAGCATTGATCTTTCATGTTTATTGGCTTTGTGTTTCTTTTGCCTATGAACTGCCTGTTCATATCATTGATTTTTTTTTTATAAAGTTGTTAGGGCTTATTTTCTGATTTTAAAAAAGTTATCTATATATTGAGATAATTAGCTCTTTCTCTGTAATATGGTACAAATAATTTTTTCCAGTCTGTTTTGTCAGATAAGGAAATACCACAGAATTCACTTACCCAAGAGATATCTTTTAAAATGTTCCTCCACTCATCTCCAATTAACACCTATATCTTTACCTTCTTAAGGCTATAAAAATTAAGTTTGGATACTTTTTGAACCCCACGATCATGATTCCAATCTAATCATATCTCATTGTAAACATGAAATTTAAAAAAATGAAACATCTATTTGTTCAAGTTCAGCGGTCAAGAAAGCACCAAGAGTAGCATGCATTACTTAAGCATCTGGATCTCACCCCAGAGTTCCACATTCTGATTTGCAACCTATTAACCATGTGATTTTTGTCCAAGTATCTTCCTGCTTGGGCCAGTTTCCTTATATAGGAAAACAGAATTACTATCCCCACCTCAAAACATTTTCCCCAGATTAGATGATGTAAATCAAGCAACTGGCTGTGTCTGACACATAACAGTGCTCGATGACATTTGCCCAACTTCCCTTTCTCTCACCAAACCTTAGGCAAATAGAAGAATTATCATGACCTCTCATCTATCCAAAGCACCAGCATGTCTATAAATTAAATATCTGCCTCATAGTAAAGACGGGGAGAAAATAATTCCTAAAATGTCTCTCACCTTCTCATGATCCCAGGCAGACAAATAGGCTCTTTGTTCACACTGGAACTGCGCTGCCGGATCCAGCTGTTGTCATTGTGAAGGGATGTTCTCTTCCTCATTTCCTGAAGGATTTGTTGTCTCTCCAACTCCGCTTCTGATGGTCCTTGCTCCTTCTTGGAGCTCCTCTGTGAAGGGCTAGAGCTCCCAATTCGGTCTAAATATTTATTGCTTTCTAAATTAAAAACATGTCAAAAGCTTCAGAATTAGTACATTTTAAAAAATGATAAACCTCCAAATGCAGTGCACCTTGACATGTGACATCGTACACATGTGTAAACATTATTAATTCTTAAGACGGTTACTGCATGTGAACATAAAGTAATGCCTCCTACTCCTGGAAATTCCAGCCCATAGCCAGAGGCACACCACAGAACACACTGGAGAAAACTAAGGCAGCTGTCTAAAAAAGAAACAACTAGTATTAGTCTCAGTATTATTCAGTTACAGATTGCTCATCTAGAAATCAATCAAGCACATGCTCAAATGCTGTGGCAACTCTGTAAGGAAACAGGGAATTGTCTTCTTTCAAAAAATTTACACTCCTGCAAGGGAGACAGAGAAGACATACATGCATGCATGTCAGCATGACATGACCCATGTGTGCATGATCAAAGTCGTGACCAAATTGTAGGAATGAGAGCATATTCAATCATTAAGGTGGCTTTTGTCAACATGAAAAATATCTGAGCTAGCCAAATAATAATCCATGAATGTCATCAGACTTATTTTTACTCTAGGAAACAGACAGAACTATAATTTGAATGTTGAATTTATTAATGACAATTAAATCAGGTTTTATCTTGAGATATTCATCTCTTGGATCTGCTGATTAATTTCTGATTTGGGTAAAACATTCACAATTTTAGAGTATCATTTATACCTTAATTTGGATTAGGAAATGTTATCTAAGGATTTATTTTCTTTCTTTCTCTAGATTCTCTGCTACTGCCTTTGTTTCAAAATTCATTGTCTATGCCTTGGTTCATCTTCCAGTAAAAGCAATGAGTAAGCCCAAAGGTTTCTTACACACACCTGTTTCCATCTGTCTATAAGCACACCTTTTCGATTTGGTCAGATGTTAAACAAATGTTTTCTATTTTAAAAGTGCCTTTTGGTATAACCAAGTTTTTGAATCAAATATTTAATACCTTCCATTGTTTGCTATTTAGGAGTTTGCATTTAGTCAATAAACGGAATAAAATATGCATACAAAATAACCAGATTAATGGTACAAACCATAAATATTAACATGATTACTCCAGAGGTTCACAGTTGCTGTTACTAACGGTCATGTGTTTAATTTCAGGAAAGAATTGTAATCACTGCAGGTTAAAAACAGTTCGTGAATAATTAAGTACTTACACTATAATGGTGGCTAAAGGCAAGTTCAGGGAAGAAGAAACAAGGAAATATAAATAGGGAAAGGTGGGCCAGAGGAACCACATCAGAAAGTATGTGGTAAGTTGCGAATTGAGAGAGGATAATTTGGTTATAGTTAAGAGTTCCTTAAGGGAAAAACAGCAAAACAGGCTGGAAAGTTAAAATAGCACCAGATAATGAAGGTCCTGCATATTCAAGGAAGGGGCAATCATAGAACCATGAATACTAATAGAAACTATAAATTCTATGAAGCTTTAACAGAGGTTACAATCTAGCTGCCACTAGACCACTGTGGCCAGTAGACGTCCTCTTTTGTTCACAGTGATTTAAATATTTTCAAATCCCTTGTCAGTACATAAAAGATAATACAAAAATAGAGATTTTTATTTTTTAACTTTTCTTTTACAGCAGAAAGAACAGGCAGTCAGAGGTTTGCATTCTCCTACAGGGCAAGGACAGGATGGAGCTGGGGAGTGGCTGTCCACTTGGATGGGCATGTCCACCTTAATTCTCACCCTGGACCTTCATCCATTCATGTTAACTGATCAAGCAAGCCTACTTTGCAAATCATAGTATGCTAACCCTGCTTAAAATGATGATTATTGCTTAGGGGTATTTTTTCAGAGTTACATGATTTCAGTTAGTTATATGCATTCTTCAGAAATATACTTTATACTAACAATATCAAGTTCCAAATTGTTTTTGCAAACTTAGTGAAGTTATCATTTTGGATTTGTTGACATTTTGGCATTTAAAATTTCAAATTAGTATATAATTTTAAGGCCCCTAGTATTCTGCAAAAATCTTTTCCTTACCATTTCTTCAACTGCAAGATGAAATCTACTATAAAAGCTGCATCAGCATTGCTTTGCAAAATTCTCACACATTTCGTTATCAATTTAAAAACCATTTTAATTTCCCAGTACTTTTTCCATTATAAAATAAAGCCAAAATAAGAACAAGATAGTTGTTTTGTTATTTTTCCACGTAGATCTAAAAATATTCAGTAAGTATTTTAATTATGTAATCTTAATAAATCTGAAATATCTTGACCTTTAAAATATTTTTCGTAATGTGATACCACAAATAAACAATTGTGAAGAAATTTGAAAAAATATCAGATTTACCATTTTTATTTGTAGGGTAATCATTCAGTTCAGTAGTAGATCTGGATTTATTCCTAAAACACAGAACACAATATATTAAGTATATCTCATTAATAACATCTTTTTCACATTTATGAAGTAAAAACACTAAAAAAGATTGCTTTTTAAAGCAGTTGATTTATTTCATGTCTATTTATTTTTAAACCAAGGGATTTTTCATACTGCACAAACTAATGGAAAACAGTGATACTCCTAAAACAGAGAGGAGTGAAGTGCTAGAAAAAGATATAAACATGTGACGGTACCTCTCCAGCTTGTACAATGATTAAGACTATAATTTATTGGTCAATTTTTGTCAATGTGCACTCTGATCCAGATCTCAATCTTACCAGGCTTACAAGACATCTGCCATCGGATCACCTAAAGTCAGTTTGTCCCACTTCCTCCACATTGCCCCAGGGTCATGATGTCCCCTTCCTGGGCATTAAGATACCACTGACTACTCTAGAACAGCAATGTACCAAATGCTAGCCATGCATTCCAAAGAGGTACTAAAACATATTGCACAGTTAACTTCCAAAAATGCCTAATGCTGTTGTAGCAGTAAGATTTAGATCTATAAATCAACACGTGCTGATCTCATTCTCATTATACTAAGCACACTGAGCTTCAAAAATAATAGTAGCAATAACAATGTATAATATACAATATTATAAAATAATATGCAATATTATACTTATGCATGGTATGCAATGCAATAATCTGTAATGCATAATAATGTATCACAACTGGTAGACAGCTGCATTTGTGAATAATTTTACTTGTGTTTACAAAGAAGAAAACCCTTATTGCCATATGTGTAGCCACACTCCTCGGGGCTGCTAGGGCATGCTCTATCAGGACTGACTGGAGGTATTTCATATTTTCCAGGATTCCTTAAGTTTCCTTTCTCTGCATTTTAGTTTTTTTCCCAAGGTAATGAAATATATAAATACAGCTTTTTTTTAAATAGTTAAATAAGTTCATACCTTTAAAAAAGAGATAAACATGTTAATGATCTATAGTTACCCAGAGAGTCATTATTAATGAGGTCATCAATCACTAGGTTTTTTTAGCCTATTTATTTGTCAGGGCATTACTACCTGTTTCTTTCTTTCCTCTTCCCTTTCTACTCTGAGGCCTATTCAGTCATCCTGACTGCCTATAGATACAAATCTTTCCTTGTATCTAACAAGTCAGACAAACTTCCTAAAGGAAAATTTTCAACTCTGAAAGCACAAGTTAATGGGTCTACATGGGATATTTATAGACAGACTCTGTTTAGAAGTCCTTATTGATTTCAAAACTGCAAAGCATTTTAAAAATTACTTTAAAACGTTAAAACAATGGTTTAGAAAATTTTAAGACATGTATAACCTTTCAGATATCTGAAATCTTATCTTCATTCCTTAAAAGTGACCAGTCGTTCTAACCAAACTGCCTAAGGGAAAGGTTATCATTCTCATTTCAGCTGTCCATATGTAACCTTTCTGAGGATAATTTTAAGTCATTGTTCATAACCTTTTTAAAATAAAGGTTGCATTGAATTACAAAACAGGGACACAGTTCTTCCCCAATCTGTGTGCATTCCCCTTGCAAAGTGACTCTTCCCACAAAGAGGTAGAGTTCTCTTCTCCATGAACTTGAGCTGGCCTGTGACTTTACTTCAGATAATAACTTAGACCTCAAGATGCCTTGCAGGCTTCTTCTCTTTAATTCTCTTTTCCTTGTCCTATATAAGACCCCACTGGCCCCCTGAATGTTGAAAGACACATGACCCGGTTGCTCTCCCTGCTCCAGTGGGACAGCCAGCCAACCTCCAAAAGCAGAGCTGCCCAGGTGACTGATAGCACATGCACACATGGGCCCAGTCAACTGAAAAGACTACCCAATTGAGCTCAATCCACAATGCTGACCCGCGAAATCATAAGTCACTAAGTTTGGGAGTAGTTGGTCACTCAGCAAAAGCTAACTGTACAAAGATCAACCGGCAAATTCTCTTTGTATCCCACGAATGACAAAGGCCTAAAGTAGTTCTACAAATCATCTGGAATGTTCATCTGAAGCCCAATTACCAGCAACTGAATTACAATGAAACGTTCTACACACCTGTCACTAGGAAGCAAACCTGAAGATTCTTCTTCCTTCTTTGGTATATCATAGGAATCAATAGGCCTAAATATTAGATGAAAAAAAATTATAGTCAAAAATAGTAGACTTTAAGGCCTTCCCCGAGTTTAAGATAAGGATACCAAAATAATGTTATTCAAGTCTCTTTATACAAATGGTATGTGGGTTAAAAACTAAACATATAAAGCTATTTCAACTAATCACTGCAGAAAACAGACTCACTACTGCCAACAGGCATTTGCGATTTTTCATTCACTCATTCACTCCACAAGTATATGCTAAGTGCCCACCCTGTTCTAGTACTGCTCTAAGACCAGGCTACAGAAGTAAATGAAACAAATTTATTGGCCTCATTGTGCTTACATCTTACCGAGGCAGGCAGCCAAAATGCATAATATTAAACAGAGTGAGCATATACAGATAGAAAGTGTGGGGAAGAGGTATGTATTTTAGATCAGATATTCTAAAAAGTCTAAGGTGATACCTGAGCAGAGACTAGAAGAAAATGAGAGAGCAAGACATACAAATGTGATGGATGATTTCTCCAAACAGAGAGACCAGAAAATATCAAAGTCCAAGGGCAGAAAATGCTGGGCATTTTCAAGAAAGAAAAAGGAGGCTGGTGTGGCTGGAAGAGAGTGAGGGGGAGAGTGGTAGGTACCACAAGGCAGGTGAGAGGGCCACGGTCTGGTTCATGCCAGCCTTCTAGGCCACGGTGAGGACACTGGATGGTGTTATGACGTGACAGGAAGCACTTAAGAGCTTTGGGAAATAAGGTGACATGATAGGTAAGGATTTAAAGGTTCCACTGGGCTGTGTTCGCTTGTGTAGAGAATGGGTGATATGGAGCAGGAAGAGCCAGGAGGTGCCTTTGAAGTGTGGGGTGGAGATAGCTGAGCAAGGCCAATCTAAAATCCCTGAGCTCTCCAACTATGGGAACGGACCTCCTATACTGGTATATTTTGACCGACGTTTCCCTCTCCCTTTCTGCCTGGTGCTTCTGCTCTTCTGCCTGGCGCCTCTGCTCTTCTGCCTGGCGCCTCTGCTCTTCTGCCTGGCGCCTCTGCTCTTCTGCCTGGCGCCTCTGCTCTTCTGCATGGAGCCTTTGCTCTTCTACATGGCGCTTCTGCTCTTCTGCCTGGCGCCTCTGCTCTTCTGCATGGAGCCTCTGCTCTTCTGCCTGGCGCCTCTGCTCTTCTGCATGGAGCCTCTGCTCTTCTGCATGGAGCCTTTGCTCTTCTGCACGGCGCTTCTGCTCTTCAGCCTGGGCCCGAAACCACTCCTCCTGCTCTTCCTGCTGCTGTTGCTGCTTCAGTTCCTTCTCCCTCTCCAGAGTGAATTGTTCCTGCAGCTTCTTTCTTTGGTCCTCAGGAGCAACTTCTTCGTGGTGCTCTCTTCTCTCCTCCTCTCCTGCTCGGGTCCCTTCCCTGTCGGAGGACTTGGACCCTTCACTCCAGCTGGCTTCCCAAGTGGCAAGATCGGGCTCCCGTGGGGTCAGAGAAATGCTGTTTGAGTTTAGGACCATCAGTTCCTAGGTGACCGGTAAAAAAAAGAAATCCATCTGAATTTGTGCATTTCTATAATTTCATCTAGAAACATATATTCAGTTTTAGATAGTACTAATCATAGTAGGCCCAGAACACCATTCAGAAAAATAAGCATTTTATTACTATCAAGAAAAAAAGCCATGCATGAGTGACCAAGATGTAACTTAGAAGAGGAAGATGCACTTATGCTCTATTAATATAATTATTTAATGCGCATTAGAAAAACTAGGAGAAAGGTTGAAACATCAAAGCAAAAATCTAATAAATCAGAGCTCACTGTATTTGTCAAAGAGCTACATAGGTGCACATGTGGCCAAAAGTGGAGGGAAATGAGGTGTCTCCTGCTGCTAGGCTAATTCCACCAACAAGGTAAACAGAAGGGAGGGAAGTAAGGAGGCGTGTCCCGGCACTACCTCATCCAAGTACTTGGAATTCTCTCTCTCGGCCTCCTGTTTGGCCCTTTGCCACTCTTCCCTCAGTTTCTCCTGCTCACGTTGATATTTTTCCTATAAGAAAATATGGCATATTAATCCACAGATTAAATTTTGATATTAAGCAGAATCTTTTTCATTGACACTTCTGCTACCTTTTCAACCTTCACCTCAACCTTTAAAGACAGTAATTTTATTTTTATTTTACCAATCAAATTTTAGTCCCTACAGTAGGAAAAAAGCTTATATTGAATTAAAATGCAGATGTTAGGAAAGGGTAGACTCTCAGAATACCCTTGGACCATGGCTGTAATTCATAAAAGCCCCTAGCAAACTGCAAGGGGGGTTGAATTATTCTGCAACGGCCCTAGTGAATAGTTCATGGGAACTAAGTTATCACAAAATCTGTGCTCCTCTCACCCTAAGTGGGTGCCCTCTGCACTCTCCAAAAACATACACAAGGGTGAAATAATGTTTTTAAAAGGGTGACTCTGGAAACCTTCATAATGGAAAAGTGATTGTTTAATGGCAAATGTGCTACATACAAAAAGATTTGTTGTAAGACTGCTGGTGTTTTTTGGTTGTTTTTCTAAATGAGCTTCTCAACCCTGGCTGTCACAGACCAGAGAAAAGCCATGAAAGCCAGCTTCGCTCCTCCTGGCCCACGCCACCCCGTGCTACCTGCAGCAGGCGGTCCTGCTCCTTCTGCCACCGCTCTTGCCGCTTCCGCTCCTCCTCCGGATCCCAAGCCCAGCGACTCGGGGCACTGAGGGCTGGAACTGGAAGCTGCCCCGTTGTCAGAGAGGAAGCGCAAACACAGAACAACACGACATCATTCAGCCACCTACTGAACCACTTTTGCACATACAGATTATTATTTACCTCCCACTTCGCATAAACTACACCAAGGAAGATGTGGCTTTATGTTTCACAGTAAGTCTGTTCAACTTGGAAGGATCATGATCTGATAAACCCTTCTGCAACTTAAAATAACGGTAAGCGTTGCTACCATGTACTAACCCGGTCCCACCAAGTCCACCTTGTTTATTCCAAACCACAAACAAATACTACTTACATCAGGAGCCGCAGAATCAGAGCTTCCTGTGTAGCAGCATGTGGTCAGGGAGGGAAAACAAAAAAAAAAAAACACACAAAAATAAGTATTTTCATTTCTATGAAATAATTCCTTTCAGAAAGTTTTATCATTAAGCTGTCTCTATGCCAGTATACTAAGTGAGAATTTTTTTTTGAATAATAGTCAGTAGTAAATCCTCTTTTCTCCTCAGTTCCATCTGTTACTCATCTTCCAAATTCAAAGTCAGTAAAAAGAAGATATACCATGGGCGCTAAAAATAAACCCTAGCTCTAGGTATTAGAGCTGGATCAATGAATATTTCTCAAGAGGTTTCAGGGTTCTTCTATTAATAAACAGCAGTATCTCATAGTTGGGCCTCATAGGAAAATAAAAAAGCTCAATTATTACAACAACTATCAAATCCAATTTTTTACTTGTCACTATTCAATTATAATGTGACAGCTGCAAGTAACTTTTTTTTTAAGTTTTCTTACTAGTGAGCTACCTTTCATAAACAAGTCACTTCAACAAATATATTCAAGAAACATTTTCCTTTCTTCTATTATTTGAAACACAAGTATTCAAACTTCACATGTGTAAATTCACGGGGATAGTTTTATTCCTTTTTTTTTTTTTCCTGAGACAGGGTTACTCTATCACCTGAGTTACAGAGAAGTGGCTCACAGCCACCTCAAACTCTTGGGCTCAATAGATTCTCCTGCCTCAGCCTCCCAAGTAACTGGGACTACAGGCACGTACCACTATGCCTGGCTAATTGTTCTCCTTTTTTGTAGAGACTGGGTCTTACTCTTGCTTAGGCTGGTCTCAAGCAATCCTCCCACCTCACCCTCCCAGAATACTAGGATTATAGGCATGAGCCACTGCGTCCTGCCTAGTCTTATTCTTTTTATCCTTAGGGGACCTACATAAGTGTGCCTGTACATAGTAGTACAATGGTTATTAAAAAAAGTAAAGCTTCAGAAAATATACTATCATATAGCATTTGAAAATTTTCTTGAAACTTCAACTGTCAAATAAATTATTCACTTATATCATTTTTTTAAGAAAATCACTTTGAGAGTTAGAGAAACATGCTTCCCTAAAATAGCCTGTTGAAGAAATGTGAGAGAAAATTAGGATAAAGAAAAGGATTTGTTTTATTCTAGCCAATTTGAGCTAGGAGTATCATATTGTTTGAATCAAATAGCCATACAATAATTATTTTATTTATTATACATAATAAAAAGCATGAATCAAAAACACTAAGGATACTGACACAAATAGACATGCATGCATAGCTGGTAAGCTACTTCTGTTCATTGTCAAAAAGAGATCTTAATCCACCAAAGGAAGAGTTCTAGGTGATTAACACAAAATACACCAATCCAGTGATTATTGTGTTATAAGGCAAATTCATAAATGCTTCAACAATCTTAAAAGTAAAAAACAGTTAACATTTTAGACAGCAACAACACAATCTCGTTTGACCATTGCATCTCGAATGTTAGACATTACTTTTAAGTTCTTATAGCAAAACACAGAGCTTGAACAGCATTCACGAGACAGAACATGAGACAAACATGAAAGGGAAGAGAATGCCACATGCACGGCACAGCGTGAGGCAGCCCTGCCCAACTACACCAACACAGAGAATCTCAAAATGCACCTGTTCTCGGATGCAACTAAAATTTATTTACTTTGAATTTATTTCAGCCAAATCAACATGCCAAAGCCACCGTCCCAATAGCAATAAATAACTCTCTTCTTTATTAAGTGCATTTTTCTAAAACCAAAAACAGGTCAGAGTTTTTAAAAGTTGGCCAATTGTATGTTGGTGTAATCTAATATTTATTATACAATTTGCAGGAAGTGGTGAGGCTTAAACGAAATTCCTCATTTCTTACTGTTACTCAGTGGAAAGAAGTGTGTGTTTAACAGCATCTCAGTTTTTTTTTTTTTTTTTAATGAGGTTGTTAAAAAAAAAAAAAAAAAAAAACCTTTAGCGGTATACAAAGGACACACAATGACCCATTACCACAGAGGTAGACCCATGAACTGTAAGAAAAGCCTGATGACCCTAGGGAAAGAATGGAAATGGTTATGATACTTGGTCATAATGAGAGCCCAGCTGAAGATGCTCAGAGCCCAGCACCACAGACCACGAGGAAGAGTGGAGAGTGAGAACAATTCCATGAAAGTGCATGAATTGTTAGCTTCGTGGTTTACCTTGTTCAAAAAATTGTGATCGCCTTTTTAAGTTTTTCAAAGAAATGGGTTCAGATGCTAGTTGAAAACAAAAAAACCAATAAACAACATGTCATTCATTGTAACTTCTCACCACTGGTAAATTAAATGACACTTGATATACTTTTCCAATCTACAGCAATATTATTTTAAAAGATGAAAACACTGATAGCCATAGAAGATATGGATTATTCTGAGGCACACACAGACACATATTTTTAGTAGTCTATACTATATTCAAATTAGTTAAAGGTATAAATATTTTTATTAATAAATTTTAGCAGATAGCATCATAGTTTCACAGCTCTGAAAGCCAAGTACCATCTTCCGTGCTAGATCACACAGCTTTAGGTAAATGGAAGTTAACACTTTTTGCTTAGGTTAATCAATCCATAATCTTGTCTAACACAAGGAAATTTGTCTATAATAAAGAGTTTTCACAACACTGATGAATAAGAACTGAAAAGTAATGGGGAAGAAGATAACAAAATGAATGATACTCAAAAAAAAGATCAATTGAAAACAAATGCTAAAATTAAAACACTCTTCTAACAAGGATACTTCAACCCAGATTTCAAGATCTTCTACTACTTTAAGTAGAAGCAAATGGAGTTCAGAAAGCAAAACATATTCTGACTTCTCCCACAGATCTGTCACACAACTACAGCATAAAATTTCAAGTATGATTATTACTTGATACTTGTTGGTCCTTACTTATCTAAACAAAAATTTCAAATGGCAGGCCCTGAATATGGTCTCATAGTCATTAAAGAGTTAGATGTCTTATCAGTTGGCTCTGCCTGGGCCACTGGCAGAACAAGACCAAATGCCTTACATATATCATCATGAAGAAAGATAAGTAATGCTTGCTTAAAAAAAAAAAACTCCTAGGATAAAGAATGCAACTTAAAATAAGAAACATATATAGTCACTTCTAACTGTAAGAAATGAAATCAACAATCAATGAAGGAAGAGAAATTTGTTACCTTAGGTTGGCTTTAACAATGTATTATTATAAACTGGCAAATGCAGATTTCAAGTAACCAAAGCACTGTGAAAACCCAGCCCCATTCTTGGCTGTGTTTTCACAGCCAAGAATGGCTAGTCTCATGGTAAAAGAAGTTTCTTCTCTTTGGGTGGCTCTCCCTGCCTATGTGGACCAGATCTTTCTTATTTATTTTGTATGCCCAAAGAATAGCACACAGTGTGTGTAGCTAAATTATTTCTGTGTGGGCAAAAGAAAGTGATTAACTCCAAAATCTTCCCAGGTATTTTGCCTTCTTTTTCATTATAAATGAGTATGTCTGCTAACAACTGTTTATTACCACTGGCATTTTCTTATTAAGACTAGCTGCTGCCTCCAAGCTTGTCCCTTTTACAACAAAGAGGAAAAGGAAACTTCATTCATCGTTTCTTATTTAACTAACATTCCCTTTGCCAGCATACCACAGCAAGAAAGCTGATGGCCTCAGGAAAACCAGTCTTTCTTATTTGGCTTAGGCACCCAGGCACTCAAAGCTCCAGAACACGCTGCCAAAGCTTTGTTTGCAGTTCCTGAACTATTCAACGGTGGAACTGAACGCCCTTCCACCTGGCTGCAATTGGATCTGTGTGCTAACCTTTTAGTTTCAACTTGCAGTGGGATCGGTTTTTCTTTCACTCACATATATTAATTTTTATAATAGCAGAATGTGAGCGCTATGCTATGACTTTTCCTATAAGTTGTAATGGTGATAATTACCTTTTGAGTCAAAAGTGTTACTTTCATCATGAATTCCATTGATTTCTTTGGATTCAGTATTCTGGAAAGGATAAAAATGCTAGTTAACATTCTCTCCAGTTGGACTTCAGGCTTAAATAATGCATTTCTCATTAGTGAAAATATATTTTAACAAGATGAGTTTTTCAGGATATTGATGCATTTTTTACAGCCCTTTACATGTAGTAGAAATCTAATTTTTTTTTTATTATTCTTCAATATTTGTGGAAGGATTAATGACCAGCCACAGGCATGGATGGCTTTAAGTTTAATCAATCATTAACTTCCCAAGAAACAGGATTAGCCAAATAATCATTAATCTATTTGGCTCATATTTATTAGTAAGCAAAATAATTATATAGGATTTGCTAATATTAAAACCTTTCTTACACAATGTAGCAAGATCTCCTTATTAAATAAAAGGAGGTACTTTAGGTACTTTATAATAATACAACCTAAGGAGTAGATAAAAATGCACAGTATTTATTTGAAATTTAAATATAATTATTAAATTAACAATTCAGATCATATATAGGTACATTTTTTCAAAATCTATATGAAAAAGTAATGCTTGACACTTAGAAAAATTTCTACATGTTTTTGAACCAATTAATGGAACTGATTACATCTTAACCACATACATAAGTCAACCCAAATTTACCTACACAAAAACTAAAAAATGCTTTATGAAGTTTTATATTACACACAATTACTGTATTTATTAATATTTGCCAGTAAAGACCAAAGAATGCATGGTGGAGTTATAGTGTATAATTTAACATAATTGCTACTTCACATTCACAAAGATCTGAGTGAGAGATGGGTACAATGATGAAAGATTGGTGAGAAACAACTGCAAAACAACATTATGGGATCTTTTAACTTTACCATCATATAATTGACAACTACTCTATTACTGAGTAATGCCTTATGGTTTCCAAAAATATATTTTACTGTATCTCTTTACTATAAGTTACCTTACTCAATTATTTGTTTTTAAAGCAGTATCAAAATTGTTCAAATAAATTCTTTTCCCCACACACAATTCCTACAGCTGTGGTGCTCTACACAAGTACTCCTGGCTTCTCCTAATACTTACAGAATTCTGAAGGTTTTCAGAGAAATCAGTCGTTATAGACAGATCTGAAGATTTGTCTGAGTTGTAAATTCCAGAAGTTGCATCAATCCACTTTGTTTCAGGTGAACCTATAATTTTGGTAGCCATACTGGTGAGATTGAGGGTTTTATGCTGTGTAAATGGCAGGGAAGGTAGGTCTTTGCCCCAGTCTGATTGGCACATGAAGATGGAGTAATGAGTACACATAAATGTTGAGGTGGAAAGAATAAAAATTACTGAATGCACATACACAAAGTGCACATGTACAAGACAAACAAATCAGGTAGTATGTGAAAGAAATGAAGAGTCTAGGGCTTTTACCAACAGACCACCTTCCCAAAACACAAGGGTTAAATCACATTAATAATGAAAACACTAGCAAATTTGCTGAATCTTTCCGTAAACCAGGACTAGATATTATACTTTGATATCATAAATTGGTAGGTCTAGAGAGGCTTAATGTCCTTTCCCATCTAACCTCAATAACCAAGAAACACAATACGGAATATTCAAAGTTCTTTGAGAATCAATAATAGGAATATGACCTGCCATGCTCTCTCTCTACCAGTATGGTTATGATGCTGCAGAGAAAGTTAAATCACAGTGTAATTCTTAATACTCAACATTAGTATAAATGACTCCTGACTGCAGATAAATTTGCCTTCAGTTGATATTTGCATTCATAAATCAGTATATAAATCAGACAATAATGTAGAATTCAGTAAATTTGCTAGTGAAAAGTTCAGACAGAATATTCAATGAGGTGTCATTCAAGATTTGTCACATTTAAATATCTTTAAAGCCAAAAAATAAGTAAAATGAAAAAATAAAGCAGTTATTGAAGCAAACTGTTACAACCACTTGCCAAAGACCAGTTCCCAATTTAGAACGCCAGACACAGTAGTAAAACTCACCAGATTTTCCATAGCGCCTGACATCCATTACTAAGTTTCCAGTTTCTTGAGCTTTAGCCATGGTTTCCTCCCACTCTTTCTTATCCTTATATGAAAACTTGGTGTTGTTAACAGCAATAATTTCATCATCTACCTGGAGCTGAGAAAATTCTGCTGGGCTACCTAAATAATGCAAAGCAAATGAAACAACCAATTGAAGAAAACCCCACAAGTTCTACTAGCACTGCTTCTTTAATTTAAAGAAAATTGACTTAATCTTGAATTATCATTCCCCTTTATTTCATTTGGAGAAGAGTCACTAAATTTTTCAAAGTTATCAAATATCTGAGTATCTACCACATACAAAGCACTAAAGGCATTTAAAAAACATTCTGCAGTATGTATCTTCGTTAACATTTAAAGGAGAGATGATAAACTCATCTATTCAATAAGATTTCTTTATTAACCTCCTAAGGACAAAGAAAAATTAAAGTTATTTTTAAATTAAAAATATGAAATGTATTACACTTGAGCTTCCAAATCAGATGCATTCTGGAATGGAACATAAGAAAAAAATGACTATTTAAAACTGCTTAAATTATTCTCTAGCTAAAAAAACCATTATCTATCTAATTAAAGCAGTCTTAAAATTTTAAAAAATGGGTGTTTAACATGCAATTTTATATAGCCAAAATATATTTTGTGAAAAAGGACCTCCTCTTGAATACAGTAGTTTTCATTTTAATTTTAGGCCTTGTACTATTTTGCAAAGAGTTCCTGAGCTTGACTTTGTACAACCCTGGGGTGGGGAGGGGTAGTCCTTTTGCAAAAGTCCCAAAGCATCCTGAAGGACTCTAAGGGCAACAAGTATTTCACCCCAAAACATGGCTGATCGTGGAAAGTTCCTTCTGAATTTTCCATTAAGATTTGCTACCATTTGTTAGCATTTCCAAATATAAAGTCCAAAATTTTGACAAATTCTGTAAAGTCACAAAATTAAGATTCTACAAAACTAAAATTAATTAGGCAAGGAGAATAAATAATATGTAATTTGTAACCCCAATTAACAGTCTCGGGAAAGAAGATGCACATCCGTGCTTTGCTACTGCATCTTCACACTTTTTCTCCACCTATAATAAATAGACTAATTTCTGTGGGATTTTTCCCCACCTCACCAACATAGGACTAAAGAGAAGAAGAAACTTCAGTAGAGCTAAATCTATGATTTACCTGCTTCAACGGATGCTACGAAGATGCCGGAAAAAGCCCATTCTACTGTAAATCCAAAGTCAAGACTGTTCCCAGGCGTCTGGTTTATGCTGATTCTCATATCACTAAACTGATCCTGAAAACAAAACATGAAACGCTGGTATCAGGTGTCCCTGGCACCCACATGGAGGAAAGTCTATCCATGCAAGAAGGGAGGCTGAATGCAAGGTACATTTACATTATTTCATGATAAACCAGAAGCTGCATTCCTTGTTCCTAGGGTTTGGTAAAATTTGCACTTACATAAATTTTACCAAGTTTACTGTATTTTTCCTGCTACAATAAGGGAAGTCTTATTGTCCATACATGTTTTTCTTCACATTAATACTGCAAATCAATCGGCCATTGATAAAGCTTAGGCTTTCGCCTACCATACAGTTGGATCTAATTTACAAACCATTTATTCATTGCCTAGGAATGAAGTAATTCGAATCATTTATTTTAAAATGCCAACATACTTTTAAAAAAACTACCTCCAACATTTAAGATATTTAGCTGAATAATTTCAAGTGGTTCATAGACATAATTTCACTACCAGTAGCATCCATCTAGGACTGACACCCCCACCCCTAGGGTGCATCTGAAGTTTGACAAGGGATTTTTGCTTGACCAAATGCCACATGAGGCTCTAATGGTAAAGGTTTAGCTGCTATACATGCTGCAAAATGCAAAAGTATGTCACCCACAAGGAACTACTAAGATGCCAAGAAGGCCCCTACTGAGACATCATGTTTTTATTATTCATCCACTAGTACCTTTTGTTTGCCAAGTATAACATGGGCTATTGGTCTCAACCATTGAGATTTATAATGTTAATTACAGATTTCCAATTTTCTAAAAATGTAACAATAACTCACAACTAATTGTCAATCTTATCAGCTTACAGAAGCAAGTTATTTTTTCATTGTATGGACTTGTATGTTTGCCTTCACCTTTTCAAATAGCAAATTCAACAAACAGCCTGATTAATGTGTTGCACATTAGGTGTGGGGACCTCCCTCGGGGTGGCAGCTGACTAGCTGCATCCTTGGCTTAAGGAAAAGAGGCTGTGTGTGGCATATGGGTATGTCCCAGGTTACTGTAGTTTAGAGGAGCCTAAATTAATGTGGTACTCTTTCAGCTTTCATCATTAATGGTCCTTTGTCACCAAACATGACTTTCTTAAAGAAACTTCAGCCCATAAGCCCAAGAACAACAGCTTCTTGGACAAAAGGCAGAACTCTGTTTCCATCTCCATTAGGACTTTCTTAAACCATTTTCCAAACCAAATGTTTCAAGTCTTACATCAGACTATGTCTGTGAAAATCTTATTTATCTTTCATAATTTACACATTTTCTTCTGTTTTTAGGAAACAACAGGTATAAATTTTAGTAATAATGAGCTCATCAGGCTAGCATTTTAGTTCTTTGGGTTAACAATAAAACACTTAGACCTGTTTGGAAAAATACATAAAAACCAAAAAACAAACAAACTCTTCCTAAAGCTAATTTACATTCCAGAAAAAGACTTACCAATTTCTCCATTTTAATTTGGCAGTTAAACTCAAACCCACGGCTGACTGGGAAATTCATAAAGCTTTCTAAGTTTTTCTAACCATAAAAAAAAATTTTTAAATCCAAATGACAATATTCTGAGAAAAACTAGGATAGTACGTGCTATGGTTTGGATGTGGTTTGTCCCCCACAAAACTCATGTTAAAATTTAAATGCCAGTATGGCAGTGTTGGGAGGTGGTACCTTTAAGAAGTCTTTGTGTCATGAGGGATCTGCCTTTACGAAGGGATTAATGCAGTCTCCAGAAAGTAAATTCTCCCTCTAGCAGGACTGGGTAAGTTACCACAACAGTGGGTTGTTATAAAGCAAGGTTGCCTCTTGTGTTGGGTCTCTACACACACCACTCGTCTTTCTGCTTCTCCACCATGTTTTGAGACAGCACACAGCCCTCACCAGATGCTGAGCAGATGCCTGCACCACGCTCTTGGACTTTTCAGTCACCAGAATCATGAGTCAAATAAACTTTTTTTCTTTATAAATTACCCAGCCTCAGATATTCTGTTATAGCAACACTAACTGGACTAAGACAGTACACAAGAATTAGAAGACAAGCAAAGGAAGGTACTGATAAAAAAGGGATCAAGAACTTGCTATGCTATATGTATAAACACACAGAAGTTAAATGTTATAACACTATTCACATATTCATTTGTCCAGCATATATTTATTATCTATTCTTTATAAGACACAATACTTAGCACTTTGGGAAATGATGAATGAGACATAATTCTTACTCTCAAGAAATAATTATTGGTCCTTTAGTGGGTATGGAATTTTTTAAGCAATTAAAATAACTGTAGCTACTGATACAGAAAAGTTTTCAGCATTAAACCTTTTGTAAAGCACTTTAAATGTGGGAATCCAGATATAACCATAACATTGGTTAATAATCACCTAATGAACTGCAACCTGAAAAATAAAACTCTGCTAAGAATAGAAAAAATTACTGGTTAGTTCTATTGTGTAGCCAAACCACCATATACTTAAATTAGATATGACTCAATGAAAATACGTGGTCATCTTTACCACACTCATGCAAAAGAAAAAAAAATTGACTTAGAGCCAATTAAAATTAAAAAATCTATTGCTATATAAGGAAGAGAAACAAATGATGGGTTAGATATTCAAAATACTGATGTTCTTTGGTGGCTTGAAGAATAAAAGATGGGCTGTAGTTTTAATAAATAGTCTCAAACTACATAAAGAATACTTTGTGGGAGATGGCAAGTCAACATTATCTACCAATATAGGAGAAAAGAAAATGAGGTTACCCTATAGAGGAAAGAGTCTCACAATTATACTAGACCAGAAAACCTGTCCCACAAAGAACTGTTCTTATCTCAGAACTAAATCTCTATTTGAACATACTAAATAAAATAGTAGATAACCACCTCTCTGAAAGAGTTAACAGAGAAGACAGGCTCACTGTGGCTACAGCCTGGGGGGCTATTATGTCAGTCCTTGGGACAATACAAAGGCACAGAAGAATAGATCATGTGGGCAATTACAGGTTCATTTCTGTAATAACTAGGTGACCACTGCCATGTCACTGAGGTTAGGAGAACCTTCTCTCTCATGAAGACACTGGTTTTCAGTTTTGGTTTTAAATAACCTACTTAAAGATGAAAATCTTACGTAGACCATCTCTCCCTTAAACCAATATATAGAAAGGATTAAAGTGGATGGCTATAGTTTCAAACAAAGTAAGAGTCCCAGAGCCCCACTTGTGTGGCCTTCCCCTTAAGGCAGCACTTGAAGCATCTCTGGGGAATCCTGGGTTCTTAGATTAGATTATCCCTGAGACTTCTTATAGGTGAACATATCTATAATTATATTCAAGCATAAACTGTTCAACAATGATTTCAAATAGGATTTCTACTTCCTTATCTTTCTCTGCCAAGTGAGTATTCTACAAAGGATCAGAGCTTTAGAACATAAAGAGAATTACCCTGGAACTGGATGGAACAGGAATGTAAATTATTGGGTGAAACCTAGATTCTTGATGACTGATAATAAACTACCCAAGAGGTTTCGGTTGTCCGTGACAGAAAAGATAAAATATAGTTATCTATCAACATCTCAGCATTTAAAATAAAAATTTCCCCCAAATTAGGTATAACTTGAATAGGAGTATACATTGAGAGCTCATATTACTTCCCTATCAGACTGATGAAACAGAACTACAAGACTCCAAATATTTAAACAAAAATACGAGGATGTTCTGGAGTCCCAACGGTAAGATTTATTTTTGCTGAATCCAATGAATTAAGATTTTCATGTCACCACAGATGGGAATTAACAAAACAGGGTCAATCTTACGCACTAACAAAATCAGAAAGTTATTCTCCTCAAACTTTTCAATTAGACAAATGTGTTGAGTTAAAGAAAGCCTACTTAGTTTATAAAATGAACACTAAAAGTATATTTGGACTGTAAAATCAGGAGTAACAGAAGAAATACATCATCTTTGAATTTATGTACATATGGTTCTTAGTGTCTTTCTTACAGGGTCTTATTGGGATGAGAACATGAAGTGAGTAGCCCTCAAATCATGGTCCTGCTCTGATACTAGAGCTACTTTCCTCCACCAAAGATGCATCTAAATCTTTCTCCATCCTCCACTCACTCAATCCTCAATCCCAAGGCAGGTGGCATTCCCACCCCCACCCCTTTATGCATCCCATTCCAAGCTTATCCTCTGCCTACCAAATCCATCTTCATCCTATTTGGCACTGCCAACTATTCTTGCTCTTGGGAAACAATCTTCCAAAGTCACCCACTATACCCAATTTCTCTTGCCTTTCCTCCCATCTCTCTGGCAACTTCTCAGTTTCATTAGCATGTTCCTCCTCTTTCTCTTCTATTTTCATCTTGTTGCTGTTTCCTAGTCAGTCTCCCACCTTTTTGACTACATGCCTTCCTGAGTAACCTCATTCACTGCCATGTCTTCAATGTGAGTCCAATTCCAAAATTAAATTTATTATCTTTCTCGCCAAACCTGTTCTTCCACGTCTTGTTTTTCACATCTTGGTTAATTGCATCACTTAGCTAATGAGTTGCTCAAGTTAGAAACACCACATTCTTTCTGGATCTTTCTCTGTCCTCCCCACTGCTCCCTACTCCAACTCCACACAGCAATCTCTATACCCCTACTCTCCAGCACACACACATGCATTTAACAACACGTCATTGTGTCCACAATCCATAAGTCCACCTTGAATCTCCCCATTCTTGCCATCCTCCCTCAGGTCATCATATTAATTCAGGCCACAGTGTTTCCTAAATGTCTGTGGTCATCTCCTAATTGGCTCTCCTGCCCCCAGCCCTTCTTTTTGTCCATCTTTCACAAAGCTGCCAAAACTGTAGTTACAGAGCATGCAGATTATTATATCACACCCTGTTTTAAAAGGAGCTAGTAGCTCCATACTGCCTCTTTGGTAGATTCCAAACACTACATTTCAGTTCTCATAAGTTTCAGATTTTTATCTTTATGGTCCAGGAGATATTTCAGTCCCTATTGGCTCTAAAATTCTAAAAACACAGCAAAGTTCAAATAAGTCGACATGTGGTGTCTTAACTATACATAAGGCTCTCCTAAAATTTGAGCATGTCCTATTTCAAAAAATATATAGCGTCAGAGAAACTGCGGTTGTGATGTAAGCATTTCACCAGCCTGGGGTAGGTTACATAACTTCCAAACCTCAAGAACTTCACTGGTAAAAATGGGGATAATACCACCTACTTTGCAAGGTTACTGGAATGATTAAATGAAACATTTAGAAGGTGCCAAGGCACACATGATTGATGCCCAGTAATTGCCTTCTTTTTCCCATGGAAACACATTAAATAAAATACATTTGCTGGTTAAGCACTTCCCAGATCAACTAAAGAAAATCCTACTTGATTCTCACATACTTAGCTCTAAAGTCAAGAAAACTCAAGTCAGCATTCAGCAAATACTTACAGATCCAGGCACTGTGCTAAGATAGGCTTGCTCCCCGCCCTCATGGAGATTAGGGTCTAGCATAGGTGACAAACAAGCAAAATGCACAGTATGAAGCCACAATAAGGTTAAGGTAAGCCTTGGGTACTGCCGAAAGGGGCACTTAAAATGGGGTTGCGATCAGGAAATGGACATGGAAAAAGCTTCCTTCCTTCCATATGTACCATCCCACTTTGGCACACTGCTTTTAAAAATCTGGAGCAGAGGCTCTGGAAGATAGATTTGTAGGGAGTTGGAGAACACAAGGATCCGAAAGGACAGAAAATAGAAACCTGTAGGCAAGACCGACTTGGAGAAAACTTATTCACTTCCCTTGCTTTGAGTCCCCCCAGAATGGAAGGCTGGATTGGCTAGGGAGGCAGAGGAAAAAAGCAAAAACTACAAGAGAAGGGAGGAAAGGGAAGAGAGAGGAATAAAACCCTCAGCTCAGTAATGGGGATGGAAAAGGAAATTTCTGTGGGTAGAATTTAAATAAGGCCATATTAAGTTCTTTCCTTCACTACACTTTTTCTTCTTTATGGCACAAGCCACCGTATTACTGCAATTCTGTGATAGGCTCCTAACTAGTTTCTGCCTCCAGAATTAGCTTCCCTAAAGTAATTCTCTGGAACATCATAGTACTTACACTCCTAAAACACCCTTCAATCTTAAAATTCCCACACGAAAGAACCAGTATGTACTCTAAATTACCTGCTGGGTCAAGTTCATACTTCAGCTTAGTAACTGAGGCCTTGAATGCAATTTAAGTCAGTCAATACTTAAGTGTCAATTATGAGTAAAGGCTGTGGAGGGCACAAAGAGTATCAGTGGAGGAGGCACACACACACACATAGACATGGAACAAGAAAGAATTCAGGGAGTGAAACTTTCAGGTGTGAGAAGTTCAATTCCAACCAGGAGGAGGTGATATTTTGATTCAGGAAAGAAGCAGTCCTCCTGGGCTTTGAAGGAACAATCAGACTTCAAAAGGCAGAGATGTGTGAAATTAACATTTTCACACATGTGAAAAATGGGGGAAGGAAAAGAACAAATATGCTCAAGAAAGTATATGATTTGTCCAAGAAAAAGTAAGCAATTGTATGTAGCTGGATTATCTCTCTTTCCCACAGCATACTGTAATACAGGCAGTCTTGAGTCAGACTGCCTGGGTTCCAGTCCTGACTCCATCATTCAGTACTCTGTATAGCCTTGGACTAGTAACATGGCTATTCTATGTCTCAATTTTCCCGATTAAAAAATGGGGATAATAATGAGAGTGCATCATTAGGATTGTTGATGACATCACAGCGTTGCTGTAGGATCAACTGAGATAATGCCCGGAGAAGCGTGCCTGGTACATGGTGAGCTCTCTGACATTCGCTATGACCGCACTACAAAGGGAGTCTGGGGCTAGGCAGGAGAGATGTCAGTGCTCCTTGAGCACTATAAAATTCACTCAGCAAAACCACACAGTGCCACTGGAGACTCTGGAGCAGACAGATTACTGAATCCAGCCTTACATCAGGCAAGTTACCCTGACGGAGGTCTCGTGCACCACGCACAAACACCTGTGACTATTTACAAAGTACGTGCATTGAGAGGGAAAGGGCCTGGAGTGGAAGGTAGGACAGAAAGGAGTAACATCAAGGGAGATTCTGGAGAAAGGAAATGAAAGGGCCTTACCAGCAAAAGTACAAGGTAAGAAAGACGACCTGAAGAATGCCACCAAGACATGTAGATGTTTAGCCGCACCCTATTTTTGATTTTGCTGTTCTCTGCACACCTGGAGTTATAGAGTTTGAATGGGAGTTTGGAGAACTACTGCACAATACTGTATACATATTGCTGATCAGCTGTTTTATGCATTTGCAGCCTTCTTTCAAGTCAGTGAGCTCCTTCTCAAAAACAAAGGCAAGGTGGTACTGTATAAGCTACTTCCTGAGTAGCTCAGAAATGGACACACCAAGCATCAGAGAGAGGTAAGTCATCATATGAAATATATCATGTTTAGAATTCCAATGGCTCCATTGGTTTAAATAAAGCCTAGTTTTCCTTGGTAGAACACGATTTCCAGTTTGGTGACAAAGGACCATAAATCCATTAATGATGAAAGCTGAAAGACTACCACTTTAATTTAGGCTCCTCTAAACTGCAATAACCTGGGACACACCCATGTGTCACACTCAGCCTCTTTTCCTTAAGCTGAGGATGCAGCTAGTCAGCTGCCACCCCAAGGGAGGTCCCCACACCTAATGTGCAACACATTAATCAGGCTGTTTGTTGAATTTGCTATTTGAAAAGGTGAAGGCAAACATATAAGTCCATAAAAAAAAAAAAAAGACAACTTGTTTCTGCTTTTATTATTCATCCACTAGTACCTTTTGTTCTCCAAGTATAACATGGGCTATTTGTCTCAACCATTGAGACTTATGATGCTAATTATGGATTTCCAATTTTCTAAAAATGTAACAATAACTCACAATTATCTTATCATGCTGAAAAAATTGTTTTTAGATATATGTTTGTAAATACGACTAGAAGAAACTGAAAGAAATATACCTAGATCTTAACAATCATTATTTCTAAATGACAGAATTACCAAGTCATTTTTATTATTTGTACTTTCCTGCATTTCCAAACTTGCTAAAGCACAGAGTTTCTTATACTCAGAGAATAAACAGTTTAAACTTTTCCTATACAAGTAAAATTCCAATAATACTAAATAAATATGCTATATCATATTATTTCACATAACATTATTTCATGTGTAACTCAGGTTAAGGCATATAATTGATGTTTTGCAAGGCAACAGGGAATTCTAGAACAAGTTCTAGAACAATTCTAGAACCACAAAAGCTTCTCCATGCTAAGGGATTCACACAGTTATCAAATTGCCTAACAAGGGTTCTTCTAAAAGATTTCTGTTTGCTAAACAAAGACTTTTAGTATGTTTTACATGTAGGCAAAAAAAGACCATTTATTAACATATAATTCTCTTAAAAGGCATTTATTAGGATTTTAATAAAAACTACAATTGTGCCGGGCGTGGTGGCTCACGCCTGTAATCCTAGCACTTTGGGAGGCAAGGCGGTGGATTGCTCAAGGTCAGGAGTTCGAAACCAGCCTGAGCGAGACCCCATCTCTACCAAAAATAGAGATAAATTATTGACCAACTTAAAAAATAATAAAAAAAAAAATTAGCGCGCATGGTGGCGCATGCCTGTAGTCCAGCTACTCGGGAGGCTGAGGCAGTAGGATCGCTGAGCCCCGGAGATTGAGGTTGCTGTGAGCCAGGCGACGCACGGCACTCACTCTAGCCTAGGCAACAAAGTGGAGACTCTGTCTCAAAAAAAAAAAAAAAAAAAAACAAAAACAAAACAAAACTACAATTGCCTCCAATCATTCTTCATCTGATGGTATATTTTGTTTGGACTCCAAATTTTAAGGAACACAATTATCATATTATAACTAAGCCTCAATATTCCCATTAAGAGATAAGAAGCCATCCAAAATTCTAGACATTCTAAAATATTAATTAGCATTAAAATTCACTAGAGGCCAGGCATAGTGGCTCATGCCTGTAATCCTAGCACTTTGGGAGGCTGAGGTGGGAGGACCACTTGAGGCCAGGAGTTCAAGACCAGCTTGAGCAATAGCAAGACCTTGTCTCTAACAAAATAAAAATAAAAAATTAGCTGGGTGTTGAGGCACATGCCTGTAGTTCCTGTTGCTTGGGAGACTGAGAAAAGAGGATCACTTGAGCCCAGAAGTTTGAGGTTGCAGTGAGCTATGATGATACCACTACACTCCAGCCTGGGCAACAGAGTAAGACTCTGTCTCAAAAAAAAAAAAAAGTCACTAGAATGTAAGCTGACAGAAATAGAAATATCACATCCCTGAGGCCAGCACCTACCTACCATGTGCATCAATTTCTCACTGTGACCAGTTAATTCCCCTGGGAAGGGGCTTTTATTACCCACATGCATGCTAGATCTGCATCTAAAACCTTTCAGTGACTCCACACCCAAAATCTGGGACTACAGGGCACGAGTAGCATGAGGCAAGAGCTAATGACATGTGGTATAGAGAAAATACCAGCTGAACCCCAAGAAACTGGTCCATAAAGTCTCTCTACACTCTGACCACAAGAGTTATCTGAACTATAAACTCAGAGCTGGAAGAGACCTACTTTCTCCAAGATCTGTTAAAAATAAACTGCAATATCATTTTTCACATTATCAGCCCAGATTCTAACGCCTCGAGGTTAGAAAAATGACTTCCAGATTTAAATATGTAAGTGTCTGAGCCATGGATGATACCCAAACTCACCCGTGATCTTGGGACCTCTCTTTGGGGTGAGATCCCCCCTTCTCCAGATTCAGACATTAAATCGAGGCCAGATAGTGAAGACAGTGTGGCTTTAGAAGTGGCAGTCTGGTCTTGGGAAAGAGATGAGAATGAGGGTGTAGGGGAAGGCAACCTCATCACATCTTCTGAGGCTGCTGCCTCCTTCTGGCTCGATGAGCTCACAGCAAGCTGGCTGGCTTCAAGGTGTTGTGCGGGGGTGCTGACGGCATTGTTTTGAGTTCTCTTAATGCCTCCGACATCTCCATTATACTTCCAAGAATCATCCATCTATAAGAAAACATTTTAAGCTTGATATACTGTTACCTTCATTTCTGTTTTAAAATGTATTAAATTAATATTTTTAAAATATGAAAATAATATAGCTCCCACAATAAAATAACTATTGCTAAAAAGCTTGGAGTATGGTCTTTCACACTAACAGATATATGCACGTAATGGAAAGAACTATTTTCCAAAAAGTGTTCATATTATTTAAAGACTTCTGAGACTTGTTTTGCTCACTTATTTCACTCCTGGTCAACAGAACTCTAAACCAGTCCCCTCAACTGCTGAATATCCCATAGTATGGACACCAACAATTTATTCATTTAATGTGTATTTAAAATTATTTAAATTTTCTGCCACTTTCAAAAATATTGCAACAAATACCCATATGTCTTTATAATTGGAACTTTTGTTTTTATAGCACAGATCTCCAAAAGTAGGCTTGCTGGAAAAAAAGTTTTACATATATAATTTCCACACATACAAAAAAAATAATTGTAACAATGCACTCCCAAGGTAACATTTAAGAATGTCTGTTTCTCTGCATCCTTGCTGACTCTAGACATCTACAATGTTTTAAATCTTTACTAACATGGTGGGTAAAGAGTGGTACACCTCATTCTTGTTCCGATGAAGCTGAACATGTTTCTATGCGTTGCTTTAAGTGATCCAGCCATTTAAATTCCTTCTCCCTTAAATTGGCCACTGCTTTTCTATATCCATTTTTCTAGTGTTTATCTTTTCCTTACCAATTTGTAGAAACATGTTATATCTTAGAGATATTACACTTTATATTTGGTAATATTTCTGAGTCTATAAATTGTCTTTTTACTAGATTAATGGTATCTGCCATAAAATTTTTATATGCGAAACATGTCTATAATGTCTTTAATATAATGGTCAGGAGTTCCCTGGCTAGTGTAGGTAGGCTTCTCTCACCCCAAATACTTTCTATATTTTCTCTTTTAGGTTTTAGGATTGTACGTTAGAAGAGCTATAAGGAATTTAAACATTAATTTTAAAACCATATTGTTTTCTTTCACATAACTTATACATTAACATACCCACTGTCAGATATGTGGTACCACTTCATTCTCAGGAATAATGCATCAATATTCTATTATCCTTCAAAATCCTGACATATATAGAAATGCATATATTTGAACAATAAGATACATTTTAATAATTATATTCAAACATTTCAAGTTCTTACAAAGTGGAAAATCAGGAAAAAGCAATTTTCTCAATTTTTAGAAAATTCACCTGAAAATATTTAAGTTAAACCGTATGAAATTGCTGTTTTGTACATCAAAAAGAAACCACTGGCAACTTCATATTGTTCAAACTAATACTTCATAAAAGCTATATTTGGAAAAATATGACACTAATAAATAATGTTCTGCCTTATATCTTATTCATTCTTTAAAATATATTAACCCTACTTTCAAAGAATTTAAAGTTTAATACATTCTGCATCATTGCTATATCTTAAGCATTAAATTTCCATTGAATCTAAATTGGCATAAAATAGAATTGGCTTAGATAAAAGTTATGTACATGTTATGCATCAAGTTTATATAACTCCATCCTCTGCATAAGTTTACCAACATTTTGCACTTCAGGATAGACTGAATGAACTAGAAACATTTTTTTACCGTGTAGGATCTGGGGAGTGATGAGATTCCCCTTGACTGAGAGCCAAAAGGTCTCGGTGTGACCACAGATGTTAACCTGGCTGTATCAGTTTTCTGGTAACTTCTAGGGAGGGAAGCTGAAACACGAGTCGACGCCATTTGTGTACTCAGTGAACGCTGAGCAGACAAAGAGGCTGAGTGTTGTTCTTCCTCAGGGCCTTTAGAAGGAAGCTGAATTTCAGCTGTTATATTGTCCTCTCTTTTTGCAAAAGTTGTAGAATCTTCTTTAGGAATTTCTGTAGGATAAGTTGTTCCTTTCTCTTCTACTCTCTCACTCTGGTAACTTGCTTCTGACATAGTCAGGATAGAGGGTAGGTTTTCTTCATTCAGTACATCATCATAAGAATACATTCTCCTCCTCACTGTGATTGTAGGCTTTTCCTTTTGGGATTCCCTTAACACAAAAACAAACACACCATCATCACAAATTTACACATTTTGACACACAGAGGTGGACAGTAATTAACATATAAAATGGACTCAGAATAAAAAGACTACTGACTTCACACAGTAATCAATACAACACTAATAGAATAAAGGATATATTTATTTTTAATGCCAAAACCAAGATTATAAAAACTTGACTTTCTTATTAAAGAGGCTTTCAACTACTTCACAGGGATTTCTTTATTGTAAAGAGATTTTAATAAGAAAATAAGGAAATTTTAATAAGGGATTATTCACAAAAGTTTATATATAAGTTTATAACTCTTTCATATTTAAAACGCTATAAATATAATTGACTGACAACCAGTTTGAATGTTCCAAAGTTGTGGATTCCTTGACATCACTGTGAGCTTTTTTTCCCTACATAGCGTCTATAATAATTTAATAAAAATAAAAGACCACAACAGACTCCGGCCTTTCTGAAGATCAAGTAAGTATATTATTTCATACAGCTTGACAGAACTTGCATGGATAATTATTGCAGATTAAAAGTCACCATTCATATTTATAGAAAAGTTCATGAAGCATCCTCATTTCTCCCATTTAGAAAGAAGTATCTACCTCCGAAGCAAACTGAATTATGTTTAAGTGAATGAAACTGTGCTTATCATTGGCTTTTAGGGCACAAAAGGAGCTTTGTTTCTTTTCAACTGGCAGCATATTTCCTTTTGACATTATTCTAAAAGCATATGTGCCCTCTCTCTCTAACCTGCAAATATCCTAAGGTTTCACATAGTAACTACCTTATAGGAAAGTTTAAATTTGACCCTTATACTGTTATGTTGCAATACAAAGACTAAACCCCACATACTCATGTTTACATAAACTTCCTTTAAAATATAATCTGAATTGTACCACTAAACATGAAAAAGAACTTTGGTATGTTTTACACAATCAGTTAATTAAAAATGACAATTTAGTTAAAAATGACAGCTGATTTCATTAGACTATTCCATTCCTAAATTCACTTTTAAAAAGAGTAGTATATTTTCTGTGCCAAATACAGCCAGTACCAACCACTTCTGCATGTGAATGCACAATGTAAAAAGAAATATCTATTTTAAGTACTCATTTCTTTTGTTACTATAGGTCACTATTTCAGTAATACTTGAGCAAAATCCTGAACATTTTACTGTATATTTGGTTAAAGCTAAATATTGGTGAGCACTAATGTCACGCTATACTTACACAAAAATATCTAACAATGGCATCTCGGACTGTGAGACGCATTCAGCCTCATTACCTGTCCTGCAGCATTTCCTTAAACGTCTTAGAGCTTCTCTCGGACTTCTCAAGTGCTTGCTTTTCAATTTCTTCCCTTTCTTCTTTTTTCTTCTGCAAATCTGAAGTGTAACTTTTTCGACGATCTTTCCATTTTGCAAGGTCCTGACAGAAAATCACATCAGCACGGGCATACCTGAATTTCTACACACCCTTGCTAGCAGCGACAGCACACCAGAGTATCCTATTACATCACTGAAACTATTCACTTCAACTTGATGCCAAGGTGCCCTAATTTTGCTTTTTATAGCCAGCGTTTCTGTACCAAGCCTTTATCTCATGTGTCTGCCTGGCAAACCTGACCTAATAAGATAGACCCCATTTTTGTTTTCCCAGAAAGTGCCTGCCTCCTTGCCCACTTCACAAAGAATGCTAAATGCTTGTAATTAGGTGCCAGTTAGACGGAGCAGCAACTGTTTCAAATTCATTTTCATCTCACTCCCAAAACCTGGCTGTTACATGAAACAACATGTTTCACTGGTAAGGCTGAAACAGAAACATGATTGTAATGGTTAAGTACAGATATGCACAGTCCATCTTTCACTTAACAAGCACAAACTCAAGCCCTTCTCTGAGGCCAGCCCACTGCTAAGGACTGTAAACACACAGAAGAATAAAATGTGGTTCCCCTGGAGGAACTCTGAGTCTAGAAGGGAGAGACAGACATGCAGGTAAAGTTCAGTAATGAGCGCAACAGTATTCCTTGGGATAGTGGGGAGTCCGAAGGAGAGAATGGTCAATTCCACTTCAGGAAGGAGGAAGTTTATTTGGAAAGGCCTTACTAGGGAGGTGAGACTCAAGTATATAACTTCAAAAGAGTTAAGTCCACAAAAATTAGGACATTAAGGAATATCTTGCAGGAACAAGCCAACCATGTCCCCAGGAACATAAGTCTAACCTAGTTGGGTGATCCCAAAGACAATCAACCTAATTCAGCTTTTCAATTGCCACTAGCAAGGTAGGCTGGCTCTGACGCCCAGGGCTGTAAGACATTTTGGAAGGTACAAACTTTTCTGTGTCTGCAAAATAGAGAAATACCATGCTAAGAATTGATAGTGGCATTCCAGCCCAAACAGAAGCATATTCAATGTCTCAGACTAAACTGAAACCCACCCTAGGGCATACAAATTAAGTTTGGTTTATACCTTTTGGGAGCCCACAGATCCCCTCCTGCTTTAAAAACAGCCTGAACCCCTATAAACTATTTCTAGAGAGAATAAAATGAGTGTGCATTTAGTCCTATAGGGTAACTAACATGAATTTTCATCTGAATTAACCTAATGGATAATCCCTCAAAACTTATTTTCATACCAAAAAATTCACCATGTATTTTGACAAAATGACACTGAATTACTGTTTCTTAACAATTAAATAGAGTTCCCAATTAAAAGCACTAGAATTTAAAAATTTAGCCAAGGCAGGGGTTTGTTCTTCATTTCATAGACTTTAATTCCTTCGAAAATTAAGATTTACTATATATGGCTCCTGTGTTCATGTTATCATTCAACTCTTACCACAGAGTTGTCTTCAAATTTCTTTGGGTTTGCTCTGTACAATAGTTTATCTATTGTGTTTCATCACATTCCTTCAATTTATAACAATCCATTCAAAAAAAGTCAAGCTTTTTTCTTCAGGATCAAAACTTAAGATCAAGTCTACATAAACACCTGGATACATGACAGCCTTATGAAAATACCTAATTTTGATTCATATTAGATAATGACGTCTTCAGCCACAATATGACTCTGGGTTATACTACTTATTTCTCCCCAAATCTCCTTAATTAACTCTTAAGAATTCTTTTCACCTCTCTCTGCTGATGCCAAGATCTGTGCTAGACCCTACCCCTCTTTTATCTCTAAACTTTGGCAAGGTCTTTTCCCATTTTAAGCATAAATAACATCCACACCCCAAATTCAACCACCAAAATAAGTAAATAAGTTAACAACACTGCAAGGAAGCACCTTCACATTTTTGAAAACTCAGAATACTGGAAGATAAAAATCCTATTATATTTTTTATAATGGCCTTTAAAATACACAATAGTAATAGGCCAAAAAAGTTTTAAAGTTTTTCTAAAGGATACTTTCTTTTAAGACAAGCAAAGTCAAATACACTTCCCCCTCTCTCAGCCTAAAGAATACTCACATCCTGCCATTGCTGATCTTGTTCTTTTAATTGTGATTTTATTTTCTGCATCTCCTCGTAACGCAGCTGACGCAAGTTCTGAACATCCTCTGCGCTGACATCGCTCATGGACTTACTCCTACGACGAGAATACCCGTGGTTACCAAAGTTCACATGACCAGACTTAGGGGTAAAACTGGAAGGTTGGACTTATAGTTGGAAATTCCACCTAAATTTCTGCTGTACTAACTAGACGCTTCAGTGATAGTATCACAGAAGTAGCACTACAAAGATAAATGGTGTTTTTTCCAAAACGCAGAAACAAGAGCCTTGTACTCAATTTAAGTGTGAATTTTTTTCACAAAATGACTAGATTAACTTTGTACAAGTCTGATAAAACATATTCTAGTGTTCATATTTACAGATGCCAATGCATAAAGGATTACTTTAGAAAATAATCATCAGTCACGCTAGAATCATCTCTATTTCTCTGCCTCCCCACAAAGATAAGCTGTTGAGATTTGGCTGCCTTTTCTGTGCACTTATTAAATAATTTAATGATTACCTGATATTTTCTCCTGAAGTTCAATACCATGAATAAATGTGCTGCTGCTTCTCAAAGATTCTGTAAGATCTGCCCCAACACTGCACTGGACTTGTTCTCAAAGTACCACTCATAGTTTCTAACTGCCTGTTATAACTACCTCTCTAGCTTTTTTTTTTTTTTTCAATTAAGGTAGCTTTCATGCATTCAACTTGTAACACCTCCCCAAGCATAGTGAGGTTTAGCTCTTGAAGAACACAATCCACAGTAGAAACCAGTGAACAGAGTGGGGTGTTGGACACAGGCACTTGTATGCTGTTTACATGCATGTACCGGGGATTGGTAAACTATACCATTGGAGAAAGGGAGATGACAACCTGAGGAAGGTCTCTGGAAAGGAGAGAGGCTAGGTCTGAGTATTCAGGAACTGGTAGAAATGAGAGAACGAGCCAGTTTTTGAAAGCAGGGTACCCAAAATGCTCTCTCCTATAGATCTACCATACTACACTTCTGATTTTATTTCACTGTAATTGACTATACTTTTAGTTCTTTAAGTAACTCCACATCTTCTTCTTCTTCTTGGGCACCTAAACTCTGCCTTCCTCAATATTTTGCCATCACATTTTTTCATATCACACTTGCTGTTACCTAGCTCAGAAATTTGGCTATAACTTCCATGAAAATGACTCTCAAATCTACAGCTCAGGACCAGTCCCTCCTTTGACTCATTTCCAATTGCTTCTTGAATAAACACTTCTGCATAGATATCCCCTAGGAACTCTAATCGTAAAGTACCGAGTGAAATAATATCTATTAGGGATGTTTGTAGACTGTTCCTCACTAAAACACATGGTTATTATTGATGTAGCCAAGCTCGATCTTGTCCCTAAACCTGCTTTTCCTCTTGTGGCTGTTAATGTTGTTACCTGCCTTTCAACCATCCACATTTGAAACCTAAGAACCATTTTTCATCTTTGTTTTCTCCTTCTCCCCACTTTCAGTGAGTTATCAAGTCCTCTCATTTAGTGTCTCTTTCTTTCCATCTCTACTGCCAACACCCTAGATCAGAGTACAGTCAACTCTTACCTGGACTTCCAAAATAGCTTCATAAAGTATCACTGAGTCTCCAGGGCCAGTGAAGGTCCTTCCTCAGCTGTTCCCTCCAAGTCAAAAGCCCTTCACCAGAATATATATCTTAATAAATGCCATTTCTTCCTCAGGATCCTGCTAGACTAAACTCTGGTTGGGTACATACAATTTCTTATGCATTCTCCACTTGGAAGTCTATCAGGTATTGCAAACTTAAATCGGCACAGACTAAAAACATGACTGCTCACCCCACAACCTGCTCATGTCTCACCTTCCTCATCTCAGTAAAAGTCAACTCCATCCTTCACTACTTGAGGTCACAAATCTTGGAGTCATCCTGGATCCCTTTCTCTCACATCCTAACTGATCCAGTCAGTAAATCCTGTCACACAACCTTCTAAATATATCTAGGACACAACCACTTCTCACTGCCTCCACCACCTCACTCCGATCCCAGCATCTCGCACCTGGATTATTAAGATTCAATAATCACACACAATAATCACACCCTATCTCCTACCTGGATTACAACAACAATCTCCCTTGCTTCTTTGGACTTCCCGTCCAACAGCATATTCTCAACACAGCAGCCAGAGAGATCTTTTCAGACTAAACTTGGATTATGGATGCCTCTACTCAGCACCTACCACTTTCTCCCACCTCACTAGAGTTAAAAGCAGGTTCTTCCAAGGTCGATGTCACCTGGTCCCTATCTCCCCTCCATGCTCATCCACACCAGGCTCCCACTCTCTCTGTTCCAGCTAAGTGGCTTCCTGGCTCTGCTCAAACCACTTGCCGCTCCCAAGGCTCTTCCATCTACCAGGAATGCTCTTCACACAAATACCAATGTGGCTTTTCCTTCACTTCCAGGCATCTGCTTAAATGTTCCCTCACTGTCTCCTTCCCTAACCACCCCACAAGAAACAGTGAACACCCCTCTTGCCTGGCTCACCCTCCTCCTTACCCTTTTACCTCTATGGCCATTTACTGCCATCTGAAGCGTGTATTTGTTTACCTATCACTTGCCTTGCCCTGTAAGGTTATAAAACAGGATTTTTCACTGATTTATTTGCTGGCATATCAGCTGTGCCTAAAAGAGAGACCACCCCATGGTTAGTGCTCAGTAAGTGTGTTAAATTAATGATCTAGATAATATTCTACCACTTTGATAAAGTCTTCCTAGCTCTTTCATAGTAAAAGTGGTCTGTTCCTCCTGTTAATTCCTCCAATGCTTTAGCTATACTTTTTTCATAGGACTTAACACTCAGCCTTATGTTTTATATAGTACACGTACATGTACATGTTTAGCTTATCTCTCTCACAAGTCATATGTTGCTTGGGAGGAAAACACTAACACAGCACAAGGCGTGAAGGATATACTCGTTTAATATCTGTAGTAAAAATAAGGTAGGTTTTGTCATACTTAAGCAAAATATACTATACTTGAAATGTTTCCAATTCTTTTTGTGAGATTACCACCACTATCCAAAGTTCTATAAAGAAAGTTTTATAGGACTCATTAAGGAATATTAAGGAATAAATTATATAGACAAAATATGTGAGGAAATACATGAATATATATGGATCTATTAATATAATCTATCCAACTAGGTATGACTACATATAAAACTAATTTGTGTGAATTTGAGATTATAAATTCACTTAAATCATACTGCAAAGAATAAGACTATTTGAGCTAATCCTGCAATGGACTCAGTAAAAAGAGGCAGGAAAAAATTTTCAGGACTAAGGAGCAAGGGGAATCTGGACACATGAGGTTATGTGAACTCCAAAACAAAAATAGAAATACTAATATTTTAATAATCTTTTGTTGAAAAGAAGGCTACATGGTCCGGACCGGCCCCCAAACCTCTCAAGGGTGCACTTCTAATCTTCACCCTCCTGCTCTGTGAAATGTTAACGTGTCTGCCCACGAATGTGCTCATCAAAGGTAGAGTCTATATCCTTCTCCTGTGCACGCCAGCACTGAGCCCTGGCACACAGGAGGTCCTTATTACGAACAAAGTAAGCCAAGTACAATCTGGAGTAGACAAGTCCCTGTGTAAGGCAGGCACGTGAGCTCAATTTGTTTCCTAGGGTGTATAAAATCATCCCCAGAGAGCCTGAGCACACTCCATGGCAGGTTGAGCCAGGGAACCAGCCAGGAGGGGAGGGGCTCCAGGCCCAGCTGTAGAACCCGTTTTCACCCCAAACCAACAATATCAGTCACGTCTGAACTCCGGCCCCTCATCTGCTAAGTGAGGAAGGGATTATTGTGAGAATTGGATATGGCTGTGTTGATGGCATTTTTAAAACCATTTGGTGCGGTATCCAATTCTTATGAAAGCAAACATGATCGCATGGGATCTTCCAAAAGCTCTCTCTCCAAGCTACTTCGAATCAGAGAGGTCACAATAAAACCTAGAACTTTTGAAGTACAGGAATCTCTTAGGCAGATCATGAAGAATTCTTTTCTTCCTTATCAGCATTAACAGCATATTTATTCTGAGGTTACTGTGTGCCAGGCAACACCGTCATGCAGTCTACGTGGATTATCTCACGAGGCAAAGCCCTAGTCTGGTTCTAACACTCACCAGTTACATGTCCCTGGGCAAGCTGCAATGTTTGTTTCTCTTTCTCCCCCTCTCTAAAATGCAGATAACACCTAAGTGTCTACCCACTTCACAGAATTGAGATAAGCACCAAAGATAGTGTTAGGAAAATTATTTGGGAAAACTATGCAAGACTGCACAGCTCTAGTGCATTTTATTGAATGTGGGACTATTTGCTGGCAAATCACATCATAATTCTCTTACAATTCATTTAGCTGCTCCTTCCACAGACAATACCAAACAGGTGTGTATATAAAAAAAAAAAAAAAAGGAAAAAATTTAAAAAATTACCTGTCTCCACTTGTATTTTTTTATTTGGTAAGGCTTCAACTTAGAACTGCATTTGGTTTTTTTCTCAAAAGTACAAATATCCTGTCTTTTCAGTTGAATAGAATTTTTAAAATAACATTTAAAGGGAAGGTGAGAAGAAAGGGAATGTTTAAGGAAGAAAGTGTCAATCATAAAAACAAGATCACTAAAAGTCTTATTCTCTTCTCCCACCACGCAGATCACCTACTATGGTCCTGGCACTTGTTGGTTGGTGTTAAGAAGTTTCATTTTATAATGCAATTCCAGAAACTTTACAGAGGAATATCTAAGGAGTAAGTGATCAAGAAGGACCAACCTGTGGCAAATTTTCCCAAATATAAAAATCACTGATAGCCTTGCGCAGCTAATAGAAATTCCAGGATACTAACTTAAAGGTTCCAAACTTTCAAAGGGCGATGTGAATGTGTGTATTTATGTACCTCTAAGTATTAATATATTTCCATTAGGTACTACAGAAATTTTCTGAAGAGCAATTAATGCTAAAACCTGGGTATGAGGCTTTGGAATTACCATAAACTAGAATAAGGCAATGTAATGAGGATTTTTGATTGGTAGATTTATAGTCTAAATCAGAGTTTCTCAACAGCAGCGCTACTGCCATTTTGGGTCCAGAAAATTATTTGTTACAGGAGACCCACCTGTATATTACATGACCTTTAGCAGCAACCCTGGCTGTGAAGGTGCTAGTAGATGCCTGTAGCACACACGCCCCCACCTGCCCAGTTAGGACAATAAAAAAATGTCTCTGGATATTATCAAATGTCTCCTACAGGGAAAAAATTCCCAGAAAGTAACTCATATCAGTTTTATTTTCCCTTCGTTTTTGCTATCTTATATGTCTTTATAATTCTACAGACCCTTTTAGCCAAAGCTATAAGTGAAATATAGGTGTCTTAGTTGTCTTTCATTACAACTTCATCTTGAATCGGGATTCATTTCCTGTTGATACTGGCAGCAGATTCAATGGCTTAATCACACTACAAGATTATTTCTATATAGCCTTACAACAAATTTTTGTCATTAATAGCGTCTGCCAAAGAAAAAAACCCACATTTTCAAATTTCATGACACCATACAGACATAAATCCATGCAACACAAAAGCACACACGGGAAATGACAGCCGCATACAATGCATCTTGTTAAAAATAAACAAACTGACAGGTGTTAAATGTCAAATAAAAAGCCAGCCAGAAATTATTAATAACAGTCTAAGACTTCAAAACATATTGCACATTTCTCTTTAACCTGGTCCTTACCAACAAGAAAGCATTCATGTTATAGGCAGTTATTTTTCATTTACAAGATGTTGAGCAATAATGCTTTTCCAGGTAAGTATGCCAAGCTTGACAACACACATCATGGTCAGAGAAATATCATCCAACATAAACATAAAACAAGTTCTAGATTAAAAGCTTACAATTAATCCAATTTAAATTTATATTTTATTTTCATTGCAGCAGATCAACTTAAGAAAAGCAATGGTAACTGATAGACTATAGGGGAAAAAATCCTGTATGATAGATTTGATTTCAAGTGGCCTAAAACACACTTGAGTTTTCTGAAGACACATTCATAATACTTTCCATTATTTGAAAAGGCATGCATTATTCAGTCTCAATTTACAATGTTGCTTTATTTGTGTAGTTACCTTGGCACTACACTACATGCAGAACAGTCTTTAAAACAAATACTGTAATATCCAAACTAACTAGCTTAGAATAGTCTACAGAAAACATTTGCTGCTGCTAGCTATAATCCAGAAAAATCTTTAGCTTTTTGAGCTTTGCTTTAGTTTTCTCTCTTCTTTTCTTAACTCAGTCATATAATTTACCCCTCACATAAGAGAACATAAACAGTCATTGAGATGGTTGCACATGTTCACATTGCCATCATATACTTGTACTCTGCGTACTTGTATCTCCTTTAAGAAAAATAACTATTCCTGAGACCTGCTTCCATTATAAAGTCATATTTACAAATAGAAATGCTTCCAAGGGTTAGAATTCAAAATGCTTGAAACTGCAGAGATTTTCAATCAAGTTAAAACAGGTTTCTTATGATAAATTGAGAAGAGCAAATACTTAAACATCATGCTGATGAGATGGAAAGGGTACAATGTGCCTTTACATGGCACATCAAAAGCATGCTGGGAAGCGGATTTTTAAAATCAGTAGCTGAGACATACTTGCAATTAGTTGTCCATGGCACAACTATACTTTTGACATCTAGAATGGTTATGTTGCTTTAAATAGCGGTCTTAGTAGCTTCCAAGATTTCTGAACTACCAAAATTATAAAAAGCTATCAAAAATTAGAGATTCTTAGAGACAAAATAAATCCTTGTAGGGAAAGATACTTAGGCACTAAGGCTTAGGCAGATTAAAATACTTGACATCTTTAAATTCTCTTCCTCTTGCTCAAAAACTGTTAGCCCTTAGATTCACAAAGTTACAGAAAGTCTGGCGGAAAATATTAAGACATTGTTATGTGATTTTGCACTAAGAATGGATAAATGATTTACTTTTAAATTTAAGCTATTCTAGAAATGAAAAAATATTTCCAGATAGTTTTAAATAATGATATGTTATCCTGACTACCAGGTAAGCAGAATTAAACAACAGTAAGCCAAAAAAAAAAAAAAAGGAATTAGTTATAGATAGAATCCTTGCAGTAATAATATTGGAAACTACAGAAATTTTAATTTTGGAAAGCCAAATTTGCTCAACAAACACAGCCATGTTATAACTTTTTGACCCAATTAGGACTTGAAAATACTTCCAAATACCACTAAGGGAAGATCAATGCATCCCCATCAACTAAGCTCCCCATGGGCTAAGAATATAGATAACGTCAACTGTACCGTATTCTAACCTTGAAATAAATGCTAATATTATTCTTTCATCATAGATTTTCTAAAACGTAGTTATTTGGCCTTCAACATCCAGAAATCAGAATTTTAGTCTATATGGTAACCAAACACATATACTTAATCTTCTGTTAAGTGCTTCTGTTACTTTTAATCAATTCATTAAATTCAAAAAAGGGGGGAAAAGGGATGGGGCTGAATTTTAAGTTGCTAATAAAACAAAAACTATTTAGTCATATAGCGCTTCATGCACTGGGCACTGGGACACAGAAAAATCACCATTAGTTTGCAAAATAAAATTTTCCCATTGTAAAAATCTCATGCACAGCATACAGCATCCCCATTTAGTGACATGCCAGGATAGAAGTGCAGTAACAAGCCACACAAAAACAAACAATATGCACAGATTTTTCACTGTGAACCACAAAACTTACCCATTCTCACCATAAATCTTTTGAAAGAGTCTAAGAAACCAGAAAACCAAAAATTAAAAAAGTCATTTTTCCAGTTGTTTTAGCTTCTAAATGTTCAATGTCTTTAAGACTCTAACTAGAGATGGATAAATCTCAAAAGGTTGCTTCTTCAACCACATATTCATGTCTCAAGCTCTTTTCAATCTCCTATCTCAAGAAAATCAGATTAAGCAAAATGAAGGGTTTTTCCTCAATTTACTCTGAGCCAACACATCACATCAGAAAAGGCTTCTTATTGTTAGGAACTGATAAGTTAGATTTGGATCCACTGATTTTATTCAACCTAATCAGATTTGTCCATTCTCAAGTTCAACAAACTGAACATTCAAAAAGGCAAGTTGCATAACTCAAATTAAGAAAATGTCACAATTACATACATGTAAAATTCAGCAGATAATAACTACCATTCATGCATTTTATCAAAGTTTGCACTGAACTTTAAACAATAAATAAGTCACAAATTGATAGTCCAAGAAGCCTAGGTCAAAAAAACAAAAATTAAATTAAATTTGCAATGCCATATTTTAAGGGAAACTTTCACCCCCAAAAATATGAACAACACACAACACCGAAACTATAGCCAGACTGTTACAGAAATGCCTGAACATGAGAATAAAAGTCTAAATATAGTTGGAAAACATTTTTATGAAACTTCATATTGTAGAATAGACACCACAGTCTTGTGTATGCACCTTTTTAAATAGGCCTAAACAAGTGATATAGAGATATGCAAATATGGAATTGCACTTTTTTCCACAAAGTAACTAAAAGTTTTTCAAAGCGAATTAATTTTTTTTGCAAGATGCTTCAAAAATGGCACACGACATGCAGAGTTGAGCAACATGATGCTGCCTTCTTGCACAAGAAAAGTTACACAAGACCATCCATTACAAGCAAAATCCTTGCAGAAACACACTCTGACCTCTCCACCATCAGCCGTTTCTTGTGCCTAAGTCTGCTGGCCTCCCGGATGGCTTCCCATTTCTGTAGGTCGGCCTCACTGCAGGGGCCAGGGGTGAAACTGATAGGAGACACAGTAGTTCCCAGTTTCCAAGACTGGATCTTACGAGTCAACATGTCATCCTTCTTCTGCCGATGTGAAGGAACTAATATTCTACAGCTATTACTTTTTTCTTTGGATGGACGCGTCCTTTCGAGTACACAGAGGAATTTTGCTTGAATTTCTGGAGGAAGAGTCCAGGGATCAGGGAAAGGGACTGGTTGGTATCTATCCGGGGCCCCAGACAGAGGTACTTCTTTCTTCTGCGCTGGAATTCGGCGAACAATCATATCGTCTTTTTCCAAATCTGGAAGTACAAGTTCACCTTCCCTACATTGCAAAATTATATCTCGCTCTACAGGATCGTCTTGGTCAGAGAACTTTCTAAAGTCTTCGAAAGCTCGGAGAACATATGGATTTGCGTGGAAAGCCCCAGTCTTTCTGACAAAGAAATCGTCATTCTCTAAGTCAGGATCCAGAGCTGACAGCTCGAGATCCTCTCTTCCGTAGCCTGGAGCATAAGAGAGATTCTTCCTGCGTGTTATGACCCTTGGGCCAGAGGTGGGATCGATTTTAATATTTGTTTCAGAAGACAAGATGTCATCGGAGTATGTTTGGAAGGCCTGAAGTAATAAAAACTGACTGAAGCACAGAAAGGAAAAAGGAAGGGAGAATCTTATTAAGTTCGGGGAGAAAAGGTAATTAGACAGCAGACCAACTAGCCAATTTACCAAGGGGGAATTGTTTTAAGGGATCATGGCAGTGACTTTTGCTAGGAAGATAGACTCAAATTTAATGCCATCACCAGTGACTTTTCTGGAAACCATTTGAATAAAGAAACAAGAGCAGAGTACACTTCTCAGGAGAGGTGGGCACCATTGAGGCCAACCGATGGGACGGGAGGCAGATCTAGTACCCCTCCTTGACACATGCACACGCATGTGCCATTCTCTTGTACCCCTTCCTCAATCCATGAGCCACAGTGGCCTAACTCCCCCCAAAGAAGCAGGAATGATCTTGGCAAGTTTCAACAGTGGGGTATCATGCACTTTATGCAATAGCTACATGTAATCAGCAGAAAAAAAGAAAATAAATTGCTCTGAAGTTTCACAAGACCCCGAGGAATCTATTCTTTGCATTTTCCCCAGACCTGCCCTTCCCTGTCTCTACCTAAAAGTTATTTCCTTTCTCCACATCTCCACACACAACTGTAAAATTAGATAATCTTTCTAAGAAGGCTTTTGGAAATGGCTTTCGAAAAAGAACGATGCCACATGTAAATATATCCTGGCTCACACATTATTGCGCTAAAGAAGAATGTTGAATGCTCCAGACTTCCAAGCTGACATTCTCATGCAGAAAGCAGTGTGTTATACAGTCTGCTTCTGTACTAAGTCTATTAAGGGTATAAGGTTTCATGATTTAGTGCAGTCAGGCCCAGGTTAATGCAGCAGCAGAAGCGAGTAGAGGGGTGCCTGTGGCCAAACCCAGGCGGGCTCATGCAGACAGGTGCACCTGGGCTCATCTGGAGTACCACTGCTTCTCCCGGCTGCATGGGTCTCCCGTGATCTCACGGCCCGTTTAGCAGCTAGTTCCAGCAAGACTGAAGGCCTTTGACAGCTGATGTCTAGTCTATGGTCTGCTTTTTGTACTTTACTAAAAATGGTGGCGCTTCTGTCAGAGCCTGAGTCCTCATCCTCAAAGTCTGAATTCTTTCTACTGCGGAGTGACACAGAGAAAAAAGGGAGGGGAGGGAAGGAGACAACAGAATTGGAGAAAAAGAGAACTACTAAAAATAATGCCTAGCTCTATGTATAAAAGAGGGCTTTTTAAAAGATCCAGACCCTAAGCTTTAAGTTTAAACAGAAATTGGTTTCAATTACATAGGTTGTATAGATGCTAGAGGGATCTAATTAGACTTTCTTTATCTCTCTGTTAAAAAAAATCACATAGAACCCCAGCTGGGGTACTGCATGAACACTGGAATAAGAGAAACATGCACAAAGACAAACCTGAATCCCTGAAATTCTTTATACCATGGTTTATAAGTTTCCCGTTTTATCCTTTTCCAGTTCACATCTTCTGGGATCCAACATTTGGGAAGAAACTGATCAAAAGAATTCCCTGGGTTTGGTATGATTGGACTCAGCTTTCGCACATAAAGATCATCCTTTACAATGTTGGGTATGCTTGCTGTCTTTTCTTCCTCCTCCAAGTAGCAAGAGGATTTTGAAGTTTCTTGTACTGTTGGCCAGTTCTGCACACTGGGGCCCCAAGTTCTCCTCAGGTTACTGTTCAAAACATCCAACCAGTTAAGACACTGTGTGGGCATTTGTGACACAGAACACAAAAGGCATGCTTTCTGGCTCACACAGTCTACGGACGCCACTGTGAAGGAAGCAAATTAGTTCCCATTCTCATCACCACAGCTCCTAGAACAAAGTTAAGGCATTATAATAGCATCTCGTTTTAATACGAGAACAGCTACATACACATGGGCCAGAGATACTTAATTAGAAGCTGTGTTAAAAGAAAGAGGCAAATTGCAAACAATGCAGGAGTCTTATTTTCTGAATTAAAATCAGCTGCCTAATAGACATCCAGATCCAGGACAAATATTTCTGACCTCGTCAGTTCATATAGCCCAGTGGCTAATGTGTCAGTCAGGAGGAGAAAATATTTGCGGAAAAGTGTTAGGAGAGTGGTTTTTGAGATAAAACTCTTAGGCCTCTTTTTCTCTTGGAATCTATGGTTAACTAAGTCGTCCAAAATTACGTCAGGCAACCTTCATTCATCCTCAGAGTCCGAGCACTTTCAGAACCACACACCTTCTGATAGGAAGCTGGATTTGAAAAATCACTCTGTTCTGCTAATTTGATGGGAAATTAAAGGATTCTTTTCATGTCCACTAAGCTCAATCAAAACAGAGAGAGAGAAAAAAAAGCAAAAAACACAGCAGAGCTCACGATGAACAATGTTAAGTCATACCAGTAAATTAAAAGCACACATTTAAAATGTGTGCTTTTAAGACCTAGCAGCAAAACACATGCCGACATTCTAAAATAGAAGAAATATCTTCAAGATACATAAAGGTAGGGGAAAAAAATTAGAGTTAGCAGAATACATTATCTGTGAAACACATTTTAAAAGCCATTCTTTTTACCACATTTAAGTATCCCACCGAATTCACAAAGCATACTGAACTCAATAACCACATCGCATGCCAATACCTTGAAAACGTTCCATCTGCTTCTGCATAGACTGGGCTTGCCCAGCTTCTTCTGTTATCCTCATTTTTGTCTGGCTTTTTCTTCCTCAAAGGCGCTGGCACATAGGATGGCTGTCTACTTTTGTTGGGTAGAAAACGATTGAATGGTAAAGCAGACTTTGGTTCAATAGCCGAAATCCTTCGATATGACATATCATCTTTATTATAATCCTGCATTTTGAACGTAAATTCGGAATCTGTGTCACTTTCGCAACCTATAAAGAAGGCACAAGAATTTGCTTGACTCTCCAGATTTTTCGTCTAAGTGAAACCCACACAGCGCGCCTGCTTTGCCTTTCCCTTGGAAACCCAGTGCTGTCACTGCTAACTGCGGGGAATATTTTTAGAAATTTGTCATGAAGTTGTGATAAGATCCATTAGGAGGAACTTGCTTTGCATACTGGAGGCACACGCAGTACATTCTTTTGCTGTTGCACATTCTAAGCAGGAAAAGTCCCGGTTTTACTACTGAACCCCTTTTCTGCTCAATCTTCTTTGCCTCTATGATAAGATTTGGTGATAGAACACACGTGAATAAAATCCAGCAACTGAGTCACACACACACTTTAAATGGCATGCAAAAGTAATTCCAGGGAAACTCAGTAATTTAAAATAAGGCATGCAGCTATCTAAAATTTATGTGCAGGGAAAGATTAGAAAGGACCTAGAAAGAGAAGGGAAAAAAAAAGCACAAGATCATGAAGAGCTCTGATAGATCCTTATGAGACCCCTATGAGCAACAATCATGCATTAGAAATGAGGTTGGACTGGATGACTTCTAAAATCCCAAAGGAATAATCCCAAGTCTTATACCCAAATGAGAGCACAGAACTCAAGGTTTCTTCTGGGGGTGGCCATGGAAACTATATTAGAATCTTGTATTTTGGTTCAAAATCATTTAAACACAAATTCAAATGAACACCCTTTGATACACCTCAAGGTCAGATTGATACAAATAGTAATCTGCTCTCTTAAAAAAATGTCTGTTCTTTTAAAGAACGGGAAGGAAATAAGAGAGTACAACACTACAGATCCAAGCCGAGTTGTCTCTTTCCTGCCCTTTTCCTCCTGCCTCCTGTGCATCTGTGAAGGTGTGCAAGTGTCCCTTGCTTCCCACCTGAGCCTCCTCAGAGCCTGGTTGAGTGCAGTAACTGACAGCCACAGGCTCTCAGCACGTGGAGCACCTGCAGGGTTAACCTGAGCTAAAAGCAGTCTCCTCCCCTCCCTCCTGCCTGGCAGGAATCTACAGTAAATAACACTGAGAACAGTCTAAAGGAAGTGGCTAAATATACAACTATGACACAGGGACAAGGTAAGAAGAGAGTTCATAGTGAAAGGGAGAAAGTATAAGTGGCTACATGACCAGGAGGAGTAGCACTCAACAATCTGGTGCTATGTTTTGAACCATTCTCTAAAAAAAATTAAGACATTTCCCTCATTTCCAAGAAATGTATCAATGACTGTTGCCAAAATTTGTACAAGTGAAATTATAAACTCAGAAATAGATTATTCCACTCTTGAATTTTTGAAGTTAAAATCGTTTTTTAGCCTAGGACAGTGTCCTGAAGAGTGTTTGGGGGTTTGTTGCTGTTGTTGTTGTGATTGTTGTTGTTTTTGCCTAAATATCATAAGAGTTTTCATATAAAACTAGGAAATATAACACTACCATTCAATTATCTTGAAAATATTATCCTAAATTGTGGTGATCATCAATTTTGCACTACAGAATTTTAATACACTAATCACAAAAAAAAGCTTTATCAACCTGGTGCCTCCACCCCTGGCATTTTTGTTTCCCCTCCTTAGTTGTAATTAGGGAGACTTCACTTCCACACTCGTTAGACAAGGTCTGCAACCCCTTTCCAGGACGGGAAGGGGTGTGATGATGGCCCTCCACTTTCAGTTACATGTACCAGGCGCCCAGTGCAACACGGAATCTAAGCAGAGGACTTAGAGTCCACACCACCGGAGCACTGCATTTGAACTGAGAGAAGTCTGCATATGCTCACATGCCCTCAATCTTTCCCCCTTTTACTCTTTATTGGCCAGATACAAATTTAAACATTGCATGCTGTAGGTTTTTCAGTCAGGACAAAGTAATATTGTGGGTTCAGAATTGTAGCCTCGGCCTTTATAGCTTTAACCACTCAGATGGATTATAAACTTGGATTCATTAACTTGAAAGTATTTTTCATTGCCCGGTAATTGTCATCTGGGCTATGAAAATGTCACATCTAAATGGGAAAGAGCCAAGACATGCAGGGAAAATTATGAAGGTTAATGCATAAACAACCTTTCACACTTTTTATTTTTCATTTTTAAATACTACTCCTCTAAAAGTTAAACAATTTGGCTTTATGTGATGCTTAATAAAGAATAATTTTATTTTTAAAAAGCAAATTCATGTATGTAAATTTTACATCAGAAGAAAAACAAAGACTGAATTCTAGTTAATGATGTGCATACTAAAATATGTAGGGCAAGTGTGATGTACTCTGAAAAGCCTCAAGAAATAAGATGACTAAATTAATTGAGGGATAGAGGATGAAGGGGGGAGACAGAGAGAGAGAAAGAGAAAGGAAGGGAGAGGTAGGGAGGGAGGAAGGAAAGAAGAGAGAAGAGAGAGATGGGTATATGATAAAGTAAGCACAGTAAAATGTTATGACAGAATTATGTGGTGAATACATGGGTGTTCACTGTACAATTATTTTAAGTTTGCTGATGTTTGTGTTTTATAGTAAAAATGCTAGGAAAGGCATTTGGATGCATAAAATATTCAAAATAAGCAAGCAAAGTAAAATCTCTAACAATTGAGCACAAATTCACAGCCAGACTCTCAATGTTTTCATGTTGATGATGGCAAAAGCACGGAAATATTTCAAGAAACTCCATGATTTCAATCTGGTCAAATCTGAATAGCTAGAGATTTACAGTCACAAATTGCTAACACTATCCAGTAGCCCTAAGACATGCATTTAAATAACTGAATTGACCATAAGCGTGGGATTTTGTCCTTCCCACAACTGAATGACTTTCATTAACATGGTCCTGTTACACTTGCTCTGTCCTGGGTTAACTCTGACCCTGACAGGTCCAAAAGAGTGGTTCTGTCACCCCGTTAGGTAGCATATGCCCCAATCTATCAAAGTCTAGCACAATATTCTACCATGATAGACAGCAATCATTTCTTCTCATGGAGAGGAATAATTATAAAAATATTTTTCTTGTTTTTTCTTAAGATATATATATATATATCTTTTGGGGAAAAGAAAAAAAATAGGAACTAGAACAGACTTTTTTGCAGAGTCTTATATTGCTTTTAATGTTTAGCTATATCAGCTAATAGGCCTCAGAGCTACAGATTATTAAACCTAAATCTGGATAGAAAAGAGGCAGATAGATTATCACTGATAAAACAGGTCATAGTTACCTGTCTCCTTCCCCAGTCCTCTCTAAAAATGGAATTAAAAAAGCAAAACTATCAGCACTATCAGGAAAAGATTTTTTAAAAAATCTCCCAATTACACATTTTGTAGGTTCCTATAAAAATCCACTTCCTGGTGAAATTTTTGCCTAAATAGTTTTTGTTCCATTTTTCTACTCTCTTCCGTTCCCAGTTCTCTCTTGATACGTAAACAAATAAAAAACAACAGCCAAAAATGCAACTTGCCTTCACGTCCCCCTCTCAGTGTGATGTCAGAGGAGCAGCTTGTCAATGACCTTGAGCCCAGAGAGTCCAAGCTTTCAAAGGAATCTTCTCTCCTGTGGTGGCCTGGAGGGGCAGAGAATTCTCCACGTTCAGGACACCAGAGATCACCGTAGCCACTGTCCCTGCCGCTTCTTTTCAAGAAGCTGGAGTCTTCAAGGGCCTAAAGAAAACATTTTTAAAGAACAGTAAGTTAACACAAACTTTCAGAAACATAATCATTATTTGTTTGTTTGCATAATTTGCATTGCACTTTATTTGATAGGTAAGGCAATGAGATTTCTCTGTTGAACATAAGAAAAAAAGCTGATAAAAATCACAGAATAAATCCGTCACAATTTCCCCAAAACTAATAGTATTCAATATCCAAAGTAGCATAAGAAGATTTTCAATATTATCTAATAAAGTAGCACATAAGGAACTATTTAAAAATAGGAAAGGGAGAATATTTTAATAAAAGTTAATAATTAGAATGATGTTGAAATGCTAAAAATCAATGATTATTTACAGTTTTCTGGCAATAAACATGCAAGGAGTCAAAGAAAAAAAAAAACCCTTAATTTAGTTACACAAAGGGAGGTAAGCCAATATTGATTATATTCCATCTATCTCAAGAAATATTTGGGATGGTTTACGTTAAACACAAAACCTTAACATTTAGAGTCCTTTTATCCTCCTCCCACAAAAAAAAAAGAAAAAAAAGTTTAAAAATGTATGCATAAGAACAGCAGGCATAGATTTCACAGAATTCATTTATATTCACTAATTATAAAACCTAGATCTGAGGTCCTGGCTGCTGCACTGTCTTTCTTGTTCAATCAAGAGAAGGATACTTGTTTACTAACATATAAAACTTATTTTCCCTGGATCTAAATAAAATATTTGTTTGGCTCATATAACAGATACTTTAAAATATGGCAAATGGTGTTAACTGTAGGTTTGTAAATTATTCATAACTTACTCAAAATAAGCATTTTTGATTAACATTCCTTTATGAAAGTTAAGAGCAAACTATAAATACACTTTTTTTTTTTTTTTTTTTTGAGACAGAGTCTCACTTTGTTGTCCAGGCTAGAGTGAGTGCCGTGGCGTCAGCCTAGCTCACAGCAACCTCAAACTCCTGGGCTCGAGTGATCCTTCTGCCTCAGCCTCCCGAGTAGCTGGGACTACAGGCATGTGCCACTATGCCCGGCTAATTTTTTATATATATATCAGTTGGCCAATTAATTTCTTTCTGTTTATAGTAGAGACGGGGTCTCGCTCTTGCTCAGGCTGGTTTTGAACTCCTGACCTTGAGCAATCCGCCCGCCTCGGCCTCCCAATAGCTAGGATTACAGGCGTGAGCCACAGCGCCCGGCCTATAAATACACTTTTTAACATTAGGATTTAACTAATACTTACAAAGTCCTTGGCATAGTCCTCATAGTAATCAATGACTATCTAGCTATAGTAACTATAATTTTTTAATATGGTGAAAGTAATTTCACCATTACAGTAAAAATCAGCAATGTTACTTTCAGCTGAGCTTACTAAAGCAGACAGTTTAAAGAAACTAGGAATTACTAACAATCAACAGTAATATGTAAATCTTGATTAAATCATGATTCACATTTTTAAAAAGCTATAAAAAATAGTTGGGAAACAATTGGGAAATTTTTAATATCAACTCGATTTTAGATAAAGGGGAATATTTGAGTTTTTTGAAAGTATAGTAGACACCGTGGCTATATAGAGTATTTGTACTCTTAGGAGATGCATGCTGAGTATTTATGTTATCTGTAATTTACTGTAAAATGGTTAAGTGAAAACAGATGGATAGATACATAGACAAAGCCAAAGTAGAAAATTTTAATAATTCAATAAGATTGTGCATATCTGGGTATTTGTTGTACTATTCTTTCAACTTTTGAGTATTTTCAACATGTGAAAAAGTTGAAGAATGTTTACAGTGAATAATTAGAAGCTGACTCAGGCATACTTTTGACTTATACTGGAACCGTCATTTCATGGTTCAATTATTTGACAAGCGCTTGAAGCGCCAATAAGGTCTAGTAGATTTAAGTAAGATTTCATATGCTTTCAATGCCAGATACCCTGGCATTAGAGTTGACATCCTGTCATGAAAACACAAGTGTCTATCTTACACCCTGCTATTTCCAAGCAGATGAGGAAGATAGGCCTAGTACTGGTACCACCAAAATACTTCTCAAAATACAAAAAGATTAAAAAATATGTGAGTCAGTCTTTAGATCCATCAGGTTTCTTAGACATGTACTTTTTAAAGCTGTAAAGTTCAACACACAGCAAGGTGATTTTTGACCTCAAAAATGTAAAAGTTATTGATGACAGCCACTTCGTTTAGGTTATAAAATAATCTGAGTCTGGCCCTGGTGCCTGGTTTTTAACGAGGACTTCACCCTGACAAATCACCTAAAATGAGTCACCTGCAACTTCTAAGATGACTCAGGTGCAAAAAACTTCTGCCAAGGTTTTTTTTTTTCTAATTGGTATTTTGAATTAGACTTTAAGCATTAAGTTAAATGGGAAACATTTGATAAACACAATGATTATTTTAATAGAACTGATGCAAAGCTGACATTATATTCACATGCCTCACAGCTATCCCCTTTATAATAATGGAATAATGAAACCACAAACATAGTTTTTATCTACCAAAAAATCTTTGTACCCAGTTTGATTTTGACACTGGTGACAGGAAACAACCTCTAATGAAACAGTCCTAGCACAGGCACCATGCCTGGATTATTCAACCTGAGTCAGGCTGTCATAAAAAAGACTGAAGGCTTTAAAGAGAACACTGACGAATAAGCCAAAGTCCCACATAGTTTTTAACTGAAAGTTTTCTTAGCTGAAATATAAGGCAAGGCTCTTCCTGTGCCCAAAGTCCCCTGAAATTCCTCCGTAAGAACCTCACTTTCCTTCATTGCAACGCCCCATCTCCTCATCTATCTGAGACAATTGTGCTTTGCGAGATTGGGTCATTTGCCATCAGTGTTTTCCTAACACCTAGTACAATGTGTGTGCATGTTAATATCTCAACTATCACTAACTTATTCAAGGAATTGAAATAGAGAGCTATCGACTCCTTATATTTCATGGGGAGAAAAAAGGGAATACCTCAACATTCCAGGCTCTATAATCCCATCTTCTCTCTATAATGTATGTGACTGGGCTCAGACAAAACAACTTAAAGATCGGTGTAGATATAAGGCAAGGTGATCATTTTCATCCTGGCCTCAAATTTCTACATTCCAATCTTGGTAACTAACATTTATTGAATCCTTACAACGTGCTTGAGCCTAATGCTAAATGTCTGACTGGTATGGTATCATTTAATCATCAGAAAAAGCCTTGAAGCAAGTACTATTAATTAGATGGTGATATCATTTTGTATACATATTTTCTTCTGAGCCCTGCAAATTCCCCTGGATAAATACCCCCCACAGAAAAATTAGTTTTTCCATTTCAACCTTATAAACGAATATTTGGCAAAACTATGGTCAATCCTGGCACTTGGCTGTCCTCAAACGGTCCTTAAGCATTCAAAAGGCTGTCATATTGATTTCAGGATATGAAGGACTAAAATGTATATAAATCAAAAGGTTCTCACTTAAAAACCTTATTAAGTTTCACTTAGCATTCACTACTCTTTACGAAACAGAGGCAGCATGATAGAATTGTAGGGATATTAAAGTGTAGGCATTAGAGAGATAATCACTTATGACAAGAACACATAAATATTTTAAAAACTGAATAACTTCTACACATTTTAATAGCCCAGGAAGCACCTAAATCAGGTTAGGTTCATAATGAGTAAAAAGAAACAGTTAAGTTATATAGAGTATGTAAGAAAAGGAGCACATGCATGTGTCAAATTGTCTAAAATTAAAAGATATGTCTCTACACCTTGGAAATTGCACTGGAATTGACTCAATTCACTCTTTGGTGGTGGCATATAAAAGCCAGCAAATGAGTAGCAATCTTCTCTACTGAGCCCAACCTAAAGTGGAGCAAAGGTGGTACTGCCATATTTGTTACAGGGGAAGAGGGGGAGAAGAAAGCAGCAGTATTGTATTACAGTAGTCTAATACAAATGCAGTTTCCTTACCTTGGTCAGGGCTTGTCCTAAAAGATTCTCAAATGCTTTCAAATTAAGATAGGGACCATTGTAGCAGGGGTTGCTTTGTGCTTTTCTTCCCAGCCAGTACAATGTTATCAAAACCTTTAAAAAAAATCCCATAAACAAGATCAGTCTATTTAGTACCCAATGGCAATCCCGAATGTAGGTGAATACTACAGATAAATGACAGCACATATAACTCTATGGTTGAAAAGCCTACTTTCATATTGGGGAAGTTGAAAGGTCATTAAAAATCTTAATTATTCTATCTAGATTTTTCTGTATCTGAGCAAATTCTTAGATCAAAAGCCCAGATTCCAAAAGGTATTCATACTAGTACATATGAAGGAAAAAAAAAAAAAAAAACTGTAAGAGGAAAACACAAATGAAACCTTTAAAGAAATCAATATTTTTCTAAGAAACTTACAGAATGAACAGCTAAAACTCAATTAATTCTCAGCTTCCCTGATAAGGATATTAAGCTTTGTAAAAATTAAGCTATCACAATTTTAGATATTCTTTTAATATGTATTGAATATTAAAGATATTATGAATCTGCATTGAGCAATTACCCAGAATCCTTAAACAGTGATTTCTTTAAAGTCTGATTTGTTGGTTTCCTATCTATTCTCCTAAAATTCCTAAAAAGTGTTTACTTGCCTTCAGCACATTACTAACACCTAACAACCAGCTTCCTAAATCTAACCTACCCTCTTATACCATAAAGTCGGAAAATATATATTTTAACCATATATTATAATATGTATATTTAAACATATTTAAAGTTGGTGACTGGTTGGTTTCTAGCAAAAAGTTAATTAGAAAAAGGATACAGAGTATATTTTTAGATCCACTGTCTTCTTACAGAACTTGGATATAAAACCCACTTATAAAGTTCCATATTTAAAGTAAATACATCTTACATTTTTCACTCTCCTATCAGTCTCTTCTTGCCTGTAAAGAAAGAAAATATCTATGAAGTAATATCTGTGAACCTTAAATTATTAATTATAAGAAAGAAAAAAACCATTTTATTCTAAAGTTCTATAAATATTAATATCACCTGGCAGTTCAAAAATCTTAGAGCACATATTATCCATCAGAAGAATGTTTCCATATTCATTTATCTGATGAAATATAATGGTCAGTTTTCTATAGAAAGTTATGTTTTCCTCACCTTTTATTCATTAGAATCATTTTTAAAATGCATTATTTGCATTTTATAATTTGCAACTTTTATTTGCATTTTAAGCAATGGTTAAACCCAATCAGGGAGGGGAAAAAAATCAATGTGTTCATGAAAAGAAAATTGGGAACAACAAAAAAAAATTAAAGAAAAAAAAAAAAAAAACGAAAAGCAGCTCTGCACTGAGTTGTTTCTCCATCATCCACAGGGCTTTGTACCCAAGTTCCCCAAGCAAACTGCTTGGAGATTTTTGACCCTGCAGATGTTGAAAAGTATCATTTAAAAAACATAGTCATGAACCTCTGCCTAAAGAAACTTTGTCACAAGAATCTTGGGTATTCATTCATTCACCTATCTAAGGGCATGATATTTATGGGATAAGTTAAAAAGAAGTAGATGCCACTTCAATGTTAAAAAGGCAAAAACATATTATTTATCAAAGGTATGGGTCACCTGAAAAATAACGTGCTTCCCCCATTAGAGACAGTTATACAGATCAGCAAAAATTCAGAGTATGGAAGCCTGAGCAAGATAGACTCTAAGGAAGCTTCCCAGTCCATCAGCACAGTGGTATATTTGTAAGATAAAATATACACATACCCATGTTTTCTCTATATGTGTGTATAAGATATAGAACACAAGTATTCACATACACAGAGAGAAAGAAAAAGGAAAGTGTGAGTAAACAGAGGTAAATATTTGACTTAGCTTTCAAAGAATCAACAAGACAACTATGACCATTTCTTTCCATAGGATAAACATGAACTAAAATGAACCTAAGAATAACAGGCCCCTCTCACCCACTCCCCAAGAAGCACCTCAATAAAATTCACAAACTCTCACACTACTGGTGGAAATGTAAATTGGTACAACTACTTAAACTTTTAACTCGCTTGGTAGTATCTATTCAAGCTAAATATATCCATATTCTATGATCTAGTGATTCTACTCCTAGGTATATACCCAACACGAATGCATATACAAGAATGTTTATAACTATTCATGACAGCAAAAAGTAGAAGCTGCACATATCTGTAACAGCAGAATACATTGTGGAATATCCACACCATGAAATAGTATATGACAATGAGAATGAACAACCTACAATGACATTCAACCATAGGTTCAACCTCATAAGCAATGGGAAGAAAAAGAAGCCAGATGCAAAAGAGTATAGGTTGTATTAGTCCATTCATATAAAGTACAAAAACAGGCAAAACAAAAATACGCCGTTATAAGTCAAGGTAGTGGTTTACCTTTATGGGAAGAGAATGATAAAAGTTGACTGGAAGAGGATGGAGGCCTCTAGGATGCTGACAATTTATATTTTGATTGGGAAGCTAGCTGTGTTCAGTTTCTAAAAGTCTTTAAATGGCAAATTTATAACGTATACTTTTCTGTATATTCAGAAAAAGTACATAAATAGAGCCCAATTGCTTCAACCAAAGCTTACCTCTTGAGTAAAAACAAAATCATCTTGTAAAAAATCAATAGCATTTAATTTTGGAAGTAGTAAGTGGGGAAAGTCACTAGAAACTGACAACAACAAAAATAACAGAGTTGGCTGGGCACAGTGGCTCACACCTGTAATCCCAGTGCTTTGGGAGGCCGAGGCAGGAGGATCACTTAGCAAGACCAGGAGTTCAAGACAAGCCCAAGCAGCATAGCGAGATCCATTTCTAAAAAATATGAAAAATTAGCTGGGCATGAAGGCATGTGCCTATAGTACTAGCTACTAGGAAGGACTGTTTGAGCCTAGGAGTTCAAGGTTACAGTGAGAGTAGAGTGAGTAGGTTACAGGGAGTGAGACCCAGTCTCTACAAAAAATATTTAAAAATTAAAAAAAACAGAGTTGTGAAAGTTGTAAATACATAGCCACCTTTCAGATTAATGACCAACATGCATACCTCAAATATTAAATTAGCCAAAACACAAAAGATCCATCAATACCTAATGCAAAGGATGTAGTGGGCTAAAAATCATCCCACTTTTATTATAAGCACACTCAAGCCAGAAGGAAAAATGGAGCTCTCCAGAACCCATGACCTCCTTTCCACGGTGCTCAATAAAAAGGAGTCATTTGGAAATACAAGATATGGCCTATTCTATGATAAACACTCACAATAACCAGTGACCTTGGCATTATTACCTTTCACTCACTTTATATTCCTTTCCAAATATGAGCATTTAAAACATGCTCTTGAACGCAATGATACACAGGCCAGCCAAATTAGCATTCTATCTCTGAAATGCTATGCCAGGAATTCAAGTAGTCAATCATTTGCTGAAGTAAATAGTGTTCACTTTCTCACAACAAACACAACCTACTCCATGGAAGTCAGTAATCTGGCAGCTCCTTTGCCTGTCATGGCCACAGGGCACAACCCCAAGGCCTTTTAAATACAAGGAGCACAAGGGAGGGGAAGTTCACAGTGACACAGACTCTCCACGAACCAGCCAAGTTATTGCCCAACACATCAGAGTGAAAAATAAAGCAGCCCTATCTCCAGAGTTGGATAATTCCTCGGTAACAAATATGTCTCCAGTTGACGTGGCATAATACTATGTTTAAAAGCATGGTCTTTGGAGTCAGAGTTGGGTCTCACTGGCTATATTCATTTAGGCAATTCACTTGATTCTCTGTTTCCTTCTGGATAAACTGGGGATAATGTCTTCTATTTCAGTAAACTACGAGGAAAAATGCACACATTTATTTAGAGTCCCTAACCTGATGGTGAAGTATTTGTCAAGAAACAGTTATCATTACTAGACTGTAAGCTATGTGAGGGCAGGGCCTATCTTATTCACAGCTCTGCCCACAAAGCCTTCCTAGTGAAGTCATACTATACCCCAATATTTATAATTACAACTGGCCCACCTATCTCTCAGCCCCCCTTAATTTTTATATTTATAACCATTGACTGCATGCATTTGTTTTTTTTTTCCTCTCATGTACCAGAATCCAAAAGTTTTTTTGTAGTTTTGTTCACTGCTTTTTTCTTAGTGCCTTAAGACAGAGTCTACCACTTGACAAGCACATACAAATATTTGTTTAAAAATGCCTCACACAGTGCATGGCACACAGGTGCTCTTAAATGCTGATTTAAAAAAGCCTGAAATGAAAAAGGCTCAAGAGACTCTAAATAATTATCCATACAATGTCAAAGAGAACAATTAAATTGCATTAACATAAAGTATTTCTCATTTTGACTCAAATTATATGGATACTAATAACTATGCTTCTTTTTAAAACCATTATCTTTAAAAATCACAATGAAAGGGAATCCTTAAAATCATAAATCAATAACCCCTCCAAAAAACACACAAATACAAAAATGAAGACCAACTTCAGAGTGCTGAGTACAAGGCTTAAATGCTGGTCTCTGTGCTGAAAAAGCTTCTCAGCAGAGCTCTGAAAGACTAAGGCCAAAGAATCCATACCTACATTAAAACCCAAATTTACCATAAAAAGGGGGAGAGACAAAATATGAATAGTTTCCAAAAGTACCTATCTTGAATATGTTGACAGCCTTTATTCTAAGCTTGGATCATATGTTAACTTTTAAATTTGTTAAATATTCAAGAAATAGCAAGTATAGGCCAAACACAGTGGCTTACATCTGTATTCCTAGCACTTTGGAAGGCTGAGGCAGGAGGGTCACTTGAGGATAAGGCATTAGAAATCAGCCTGGGCAACACAGCAAGACCTTGTCTCTGCAAGACAGAAATTAGCCGGGGATGGTGGCTCATCCCTGTAGTCCCAAGCTACTTGGGAGGCTATGACAGGAGGATGGCCTGAGTCCAGGAGTTTGAGGTTGCAGTGAGCTATGATGATGCCACAGCACTCTAGCCCAGGTGACAGAGCGAGACCTTGTCGCAAAAGAAAAAAAATAGTAGCAAGTATAGCATAGGAGTAAACTTCCACTTTGTTGATGGAACAATTCTGATAATTCCTTTGCTACCTGACAAAGGGCAGAAGATATATGCCCGTCACGGATCTCTGAACTTTCTACCAGAGGTCAGGAACAAGGGAGCCCATCAGTGAACTCATTCCTCTATAAGCATCTTATCCTAACTGCTACTAGGCATACTTGGAACCAGGAAGCTCTAGGCCTGATGTTCCTTTTTTTATTCAAAGATTTTTAGATACTAGTACCAATCAATCGTGAAATATCATTTCTAACCAAAGGACCAGGGAACAAAAGTCCAGGTAGAGGCTCTGACTCTTCAGGAGATCCCATTCAGGGTCCTTCCCTGAGGAGGCAGCTCGGGTAAGAGGGCAGACTCCAGACCCAGACCTCCTGAGCGTGAACTCTTGGTCCACTTTTACCAGCTGTGAGAACATGTTCACGTTACTTAATTCTGTATCTCCTTAGCCTTGCCTATAAAAATGAGGAAAAACAGTACCAGCCTCACTGGGCTTCAGTGAAAGATTTTTAAAGGGCTTAATCTAGGTAGAACAAGTAAGACTGTCACCTAATTATCCATCTCAGCTAAACCACTGAGGGAACGGTCATCGTCAACAGGACAATCTAGTCCCTACCCAGACACAGTCTCTTCCCTCCCAGAAGAGACATTTCTGTGAAACATAATTCAAGACACTCTTTCATCTTATACTTGCCTTGCTCTCTTACCAAGGAAGGCTTTGAATGAGGATAAGAAATTATTTCTAAAACAAGGTCCAAGGGAAAGGCAACCTGGCGTGGAATTACTGTCATTATCTAAACATCCACTCTGGCACCAGGCCAGTCCTCCCCACCCATCCTTG